ATTATTAAAAATTGCAAAATTTACGTCCCAAGACTTCAAACGTGCTTTTCTTAAAACATTTTTGAAAACGATGACCACATTGAGAAACCCATTTAGTTGAATCAGCCAAAATCTTTGGTTGAAGAATCAACTAAAATCTTTGGGGTTGGATAAACAAATTCTTTAGTTAATATAATAAAAAATTTGGTTAACATAAAAATTTTAAAATAACTAAATTTTTTGTTATATTAACTAAAAAATTTGTTTATCCAACCAAACTTATATCCAACCAAATATTTTAGTTGATTCAACTAAATGAGTTTCTCAGTGCATGATAACTCGAACACATGACTTATCTAATTAATTTTTAATCTTAAAGTAACACTTTTAATACTATTCCACTATTGATTCACGGAGGCTTTTTCCTATATTTAACTTTTTTCTTAAGTTAGTTTAAGAAAGAATAAAATTTTTCAAGAAAATGTAATTCTCATGTTTAGATATATCTAATTTCGCAAAAAATAAAAGTTAAACAAATAATAATTCAAATATAAAATTGAAAAATAAAACCTATTTTTTAGAATTTACATAATTTTTACAGAACACTCGTTAATTTACAGAAGCTAAAATCTTGCCTTTCATACAGCCACGATCGGACTTCAACGATTATTTAGGACGCTATTATTGTTTATTATTTTTTAATTATTGTTTATTATTATTTAATATTTTTTTATATAATTTTGCATTTTATTTTTATTGTCAAAAATATGTTGTTTTTTTTACAAAAAAAACATGATTTGTCTATTTCTTAAACAAAAATTTGATCAATTTTGGAAGATACTCTATTTTTCGATTCGCTACACTCCTATAATCCTTTTTTAATAGGAGAGTGCCACGTGGATCTTTAATAAAAAGCAAGACGGAAAATGTCAAAAATATAACGATTCCGTGATTTCGTTCAGAAAGAATTTCGTACAGAAGATGTAGGTTATATTTTCCGCTCTAAAAGTTCTTATTACTTCCGCGTGTGTGTGTCTCACCATATTTCTACAATCGCAGTTTACCATCCAATTTCGTCATCGTCAAAAACAAGGATTGATGAAAAAAATTGATGAATTTTTTCAATACAAACATTCTTCTTTGTATGCATGATTGACAAGTTAAAACTTATACAACCAGAAAGTACACTTTCAAACAATTTTGCTTACTACGGTGAAATTTTTGAAATATGTACACGCTAAAAAATTGAATTGCTGATACGAAATCTCAAACATTACATTCCTTTATACACGATAGAAGCTAACGTAAAAAAAATTGCATTTAGTTACTGCTAAATCTGCCCACACATGGACCATAATATTATAATAAATTTATAAATCGAGAATAATTCACTTTTTGCAAACAAATTTCGTCAAATTCGATCGATTTGCTTTACAAACAGACAAGTAGCGTTTTTAATTATACAGACTGCGAGAAAGTCGTTGAGATCTATAAGTACACCTGTTATTCTTGTCGTTAAGACTCTTAACGACCACATTGTCAACGGTTACGCCTTATTTTGTCATCTGAATTGGTGCCTACGAAGGACAGACGATTATATAATTCTTTACCTGCAATCTGAGCTGACACATATTACATGACGGCGAATAAATGGATTGATCTCACCGACACCTTCATCGTTTTTTTTTTACAGTATTTTTTGTTGTTGTTTCAAAGTGAATGCAGAATGATAATGTATAGAATGTAAAATTAAATGTAAGATTGTTACAACGCATTTTCTGCAAGAGAAATATAAACTATGTTAAACGATACTCTTTTACCATATATAAATTATATATATAAGCCTTTTTTATTACGTTTTCATTGAGTTGCAGAATTTTTATTAGCTAAAATATTCGAGGGTAATCATTTTCCTCCAAAGAGAGTTTTTCTCTATGAATTACTCTAACCGTGATTTCACTTACCTCGAATAAGGTCGAAAAGTATTGAACTAATTAAAATACGTTTTTTACAAAGACTTTTTTATAAAGACTCTTTTGCGACGCATTTTTTTCTTTGTTGTTATTGTCGGTGCTGTCGTCGTCGTCGTCGTCCTCGCTATTGTCCTTTTGAAAAACGCTCAAGTAGACTCGAACTTAATTCAGCGTAGCACCAGATTCCCTTATGAAATCTTGTTGCCACAACCGTCGTCAAGTAATAAACGACTGCGTAAGAAAACGAGTTGGCTCGGAGTCGAAAGAAAGTGGTGATATCTCGACGGTTAACGAAATCGTCCGCGGAAGCGGGCAACCTTCAATTACGTGTCCAGCAGGCAATGTCATTGGTAGAAAAAAAAAGGAAATAACAGCGGAGAAATGGGCTACTGCTTATTAGCGCACGATACGAAAAATTTGAATTTAGAGCGCGACTCCGCGCGCTTCGCAAATTGTGAAACGTCAACGCGAGCGTGACGGCGATCGGGCGATTCAGCACGCCTGGATCGCACAACGTTACACATAGATCCAGCCCGTGCGATAAACGGAGAACAGAGATCGAATAACAAGAGCCGTTTTGTGTATTTTTCTTACCGCACTTTGGTAATTGCGAGAAAAACATAAATTGACAAAATTACATTTTGATCGTACGATTATATGTCGATCATGTTCATAAAAAAAACATAAATAAAGTTTATTCTCGGGGAAAAAATTCGACGTAAAAATATACCGTTAAGATAATAAACAACGTACGAAATTTTAAATCGATTATTGCCAGAATTAATACAACGCACTTCAAATACAGTTAAAATAATAAATTTCAACAAGTCGCACGAAAATAATGGAGTCATGCAATCTCTCTTTCTCTCTCAGAGAAACATTGAACAATAAGTCCGGCACGATATTACGTAAATGCGCAACAAAAGAATTTGGGCTGAGATCGAAAGGTTTTGTCGCTTATGATCTTGATCCAGATAGATCGCGCTGGTAATCACTCGGGCGGGACCAACCTTTTTTTTATTAAAGGTGGTTGCCGGATTGCGTTCACGGAACGATGATGATGTGTACGTTACGTGCGCAAAGAAATAACATTGCTCATTGCGAAGACAAACGGGCTTTGTCAAGAATTGCGTAAGAATAGAACTGAAGCTACCACGCCTTTGTCGGCTAAAACTAGAGATATATTCGAGAATTAAATTTCTTGTGGGGACGTTGTGTATATATATTTGGTAATATGTGTGTGTGTGTGTATATACATACATACATATAATATAAAAATGGCACTAATTATTCTGTACTATAATTATGAAACAAGAAGCATCACAAAATAAGATAAAATTTGGTTTCTTTATGTAATCTATAAGATCATACGGCTGTTAATTTAGTAAAAGTTTATTTGCATATAAAAATTCTATTAAAGTGAGCATATGTAAAAAGCGGCAACCAGTTTTTCGTGTGTAATTTATGAAGATATCCTTTCTCTTCAGGATGTTCTGTAACGCGTTGTCCGGTTTTATTTCGCGTCCGAAAAGGAATTCGTCGTAAATTTCCCGCATTATTTATGCGTTCTCTCTGCGTTATGTGTTCTCTCTCTTACGAAGAAAAATGCGCAAGCGATTTCACAAAAAAAAGAATAGTAATTCGGCTACGAATATGTGAAGAGTAAAAGAGAGGAGGAAAGAGAGAGTGAGTGAAAGAGTGAGATCACTTGCTTCTATTACGCTAAGACATGACGTAACGTTTATGCGCGCAGTAAGAATGATGCATAAGCAATCGACTGTTCTTTCATCTGTATATAGCCTTTACGCTGCAATTTATAATTAAATTAAATAATAAAAGGACATAGTAAGTCGACATGGTTAATCTCGGTGGATTCAGTTATGTTCAACGAAAAAGTGTTTTATAAAATTTTATATTTAAATATATTTTTATTTAAATTCGTTGAAAGTTTCTCAAAACTGGATTTTAGTAAAATTTTCTATTATATTTACGTGACATATATTACTAATAAAGTATTATTTATATCAGCATTTTTTTCATATTAAAGATAAACATTCAATGCGTGTTTTTAGTCAAATAGAAAAAAATTTAATATAAATTTATATATATAAGTTATATATTAAAAATACAGTATTTTTGATGTCAGCATTTTCTCATATTAAAGAGAAACATTCAATTTGTGTTTTTAGATAAACAGAAAAAAATTTAATATAAATTTATATATATAAGTTATATATTAATAATAAAGTATTATTTATGTCAGCAATTTCTCACATTAAAGAGAAATACTCAATGTGTTTTCTTAGATAAACAGAAAAAAATTTAATATAAATGTGAAATAAACTTTTATGTAGCATAAATCTCTCGTTGAAAATTTACGAGATTTTTAAGATAACTAAATATAGATATGCAATTAAATATAGTTTTTTGCCAAATTAGTGACAGAAGATTGAATCATTTTGACATTTTCATTCAATTTCACGTTTACTTGGCCAGTTTCCGCTGTTTGAGAATAAATTATGTCTAAACTCCGCATACATACATTACGAAACGAAGAATTCGAAAAATAAGGTTTATCTGCCGACGATTACCTCCTATTCTTTCAACATAATCGGCTCTGATGGCCGAATCAATCCATTACATTTTTAATGAATAACTGCAAGACTCCCGCGAGCAATACAGGCAATTCTATAATATCGCCCGTCTTGATCGATTAACTAAAGCGGCCAAATTCTATCCGTAACTTTTGCGGCAACTATCAGCAACTTTTCAATTATCTTCTCCAATCAAATCGCGAGCGTGACGACCGATTTGAACACGGCGGCCGAATCTCTTTCAGGATTTTCGCACGAGTGAGTAACGCCGACGTGTGCCACCGTCGCCGCGTCGTCGAGCACGTGGATCGTACCGTGTGTTTTCTCATCCACAAAAAGATCCGCGGGGGGTAGGGTACAACCTAGACGCAAGCCTGAAAGAGTGGTGGCACCCGAGGCCGAGAGCTTTTGCCCGGAACGGAGCCATCCTGAGGTGGGAGATGGATATAAGCCCATCGTCCGGGAATAATGCTATCAGTGACTTCGCGCCCGACAGTCTCGCATATGGTAAACGTGCTGTGAGCGTTGTTGAAAACATCGTGGAAAACACATCATGCTGAAGGTACGAAGAAAGAAGGCCCGCCGCGATTCGAGTGTGGTATGAACGCGAGAGTGGGTGTGGGTGGTTGGGAAATATGTGCGTCGCTTTTCCTATCGGCCGCGTTTCGAGAGAACTTTTCGGCGCCGCGGCCGCGTCTATCGTCCAAGTGAATCTCCCTTATTTCTCTTTCTTTCGTTTGGCTAGGGCGCCCGTTATAATATTATCGCCAAATATTACGCGAAATCTGCGGAATCTTATCTATATCGATCTTTCCGTCAAGAGAGCAGAAGAGATAATTCCAAAATTGCTTTTGGTTGAGCTGGTAAACAGATAATTTAGAGATTTATCCCTTTTAAGTTCTAATTAAAGAAAAAAAATCATCAATTTTGTGTCATATGCCAAAGTTTCTTATCTACAATAAAATCACTTATCTGCATGTATTCAGTAATGAATTCTACTTATCTCTTATTTTAATTTTAATTAGATAGGCCTCCCTATCTCTAATTAAAATTTAAAATAGACTTCGTAGAAATAGACTTCGTAGAAATAGACTTCTCATTTCTGTGAATTATCCTGTAAATCATCTATTTGGCACTTATAGCTGTATAATAAAGTTATTTATATATATATATATGTATATATTACACACATTTTTTATAAATACTTCTTAAATTATTTAAAAACAATCTTTTTGGAAAATTTTTTTTATATATAATTGCATTCGCCTAATGTTACTGTAATATTGTACATCTTTAAAGCAGTTATAAAGAGAATTTTACTAACATTCCGAGTTAAGATTTTTTCCTTCTGATCAAATCAGATTTCTCTTTCTTCCCGATCCTCCGGTTTACCTCAAAGTACCGGAATCCGCGTCGACTTTCTCACAGGCATGAATATTCGTGCCGGGGGTGTAATAAACCTTTTACTCGCGATGTATCATTTTCATCGCGACGCTTAAACAAGCGAAATTCTTAACCACTTCCGCGGGGTTTCATTGACTTATACCATCTATTGGCCGGCGGATAACAAGGTCGACGTGAAAGTGAAAAGAGGAGACGGTTCTTCTCATCGACAGGACTTCCGATCCGAGATTTAACGAAACATATTGAAACTCAAGAAGCGCGCGTCCCCGGAAAGGCTTTCCCAATAAATCAGCCCCGATGACTTTACAAACTTAGCTTCGTCCGCGATTTCGCATTGACAGTGACTAATGGGTCGCCTGCATCGCATGGGGTATCGATTATCCGCTGTTACACTTCGGATGCTATTAAATATCTTGCACGAGGCACGGCGCTAAGTAGATGAGGGAAGATATATTTAGAGAGGATGTTTCAAAGAGCGAAGAAAATGAAAAGAGAAGCGAACACTTCGAAGCCGCGGAGGAATTTTCAAAGAAACTATCGAATCCTTGACACAAAACTTCGCGCGTATTAACAATCTCGCCTTTTCCCACAGAAGAGATTTACGATCGCGAATTGTGGTTTTTCAGACGGTCGCTTTCCTCTGCGCCGCGGTGGCGTGCAGCCACGCGGTGGTTCTCAGCGGTTACAACGGCGGCCACGGCCTGTCCAGCCTGTCCTACGGCGATTACACCGATCTCGACGGATACATTGGATCCGCCGGATACAAAGTTCTGCCGACGGTCGCGGTGCCGTTGCACGCGGTATCCGCCGCGCCGCTACACGTGGACGCGTCTTTGGACCACGAATATCACGGCTACAAACACGTCGAACAGGATCACGACTATTACGTGAGTATCTCTTCTTGCGTCTTTTTTTCGCAAGTTTGCAATACTTTACTGCTGAGAGGATGTATCTCGATTCTCGTGTAGAAATACTCCACGATATGTTTGTTTGAAACTTTTTGGAGAACTTTTAAAAGTTCTCTGAAGCACTTTCACAGAAGCAGTGCGACTTAATAATATTTACAACAAACATTGTAATCGGCGTATCTGGTTTCAAGGGAAACTTCAATTATCTCTCCCACACTCCGACTTCCACCGTTTCAACTTCGTTAACGGCATTTAATATAAATTCTCGCACGTTTCCTTCTGAAAAGTGTCAAGATTCTTCAAGTCTCGCGATGCTTCCAGGCGCGTGAGGTGTATATGTTAATTTAAATTCCTGTATCTCTCTCTCGCTCTCTCTCTTTGAAAAGCGACGTCTGTGTGACGAAGGTATTTCCTCTGTCCTCGCCGTATCTTATTGTCGAGCCTCTTTCCGCAACGCAACGCTCATTGTCGTCGCTTTCTCGCGATGTTAATTGTCACTAAAAGCGGCGCTCCAAGTAATATCGCAAAACGAGGAAACAGCGCGCTACGTGTACGGATGATAATTACGATATAACGCGTCGCGTCTCTCAAAAACACGCGGAACTGTGCGTGGCAAGTAGCGTATTATTACACAGTTGCGGATCACAAATTTATCAAAGAATTCATTAGCAACTTAAAATCGCGGCATACAAAAGCATTCTATATCATATTCAAGCATATTTGGTAAATTAAATTACATTATGTAAATTAATTTATTTAATTAAGTTACGAGTCTCTTAAACTTTTCAATTTTTTGGAAATAAATTCCGTTTTACGTACGATTAATACGTTCGCGCAATCAAAATCTGCATTTACAGCAATTTGCAAGTTACATGGAAGTATAGGAGCGCGGGATAAAATAAATAACCCGAGTCCGCGCGCGCGTGATGTGCATATTGAGCAGTTAAAGCTCTCTTAGGTCTCTGGCGCCAGTTTCAGTATGCAGACGCTCGTCGCTAACTCGTCGCAAACTCGCGTTATAACGATGACCCTGTGTGCGCTTGTTGCAGTCGCACCCGAGATACACCTTCAATTATGGCGTGCACGATCCCCATACCGGTGACGTGAAGACCCAGCACGAGGTGCGAGACGGCGACGTCGTCCACGGCTCGTATAGCGTGAACGAGCCCGACGGGAGCGTGCGCATCGTCGAGTACACGGCGGACGATCACAACGGATTCAATGCCGTCGTGAAGAAAGTCGGGCCGGCGATACACCCGAAACCGGTGCCGATCGTCAAGTACGTCTCGCCGGCGCACTACAACAGCTACGACTACGAGAAGCATTATTAGCTCAGCCATCAGTGTAAATAGCAACGAATCGGGCGTTTCGCTAAGAGGCATTAGTCGATAATCAGTCTGCTAGTCAATGTGACAGCGAAATTTTCAAGTTCGACCGGATCTTCAGGTGGGATTTAATTGATCATTGGCCGTCAGCAACGAAAAACAAAAATTGGGCTCATCTCATGTAAAACAGTTAGATTTTAGCAGGGTTTAGGATTATGTGTTTTGAATATATACTGCGGTAAATATATAGTTTATAATTGAGATTATAAACGAGGAAATTGATTCATTCCCTGACACAGTACTTGACTATTATTTTCTACGTATTGAAATAAAAGTATTTTTTTTCTTATTGTTAGTCCTTTACATCTCGTTGCCTTATTTCGAAGCGCCTGATTGCACTTAACGGCAGCAGCGCGGGAAAAAATCAATTACTTCCACAGATAACAGAAGTAGTTTCCATCTATTTATTTCACCCTTCTCCGACGATTGTGGCGAAACCGCACAAAGGCATCTCGCGCATCCTTTTAAAAAGTAGACTATTTGACGGAATTGGAATTCCGATGTAACCGCGCATGTCTGAAGTATCGATTTATTTTTGCAGAGCGACATACATAATAACATACCACATTTCGCTTGTTCTCGAGATGCCTCTTGTGGGTTCAGTTTTAGGTTTCGTACATTCTAAATAAATCCAGTACCGTGAATAATTTAGAAAGAGTATATATGTAAATGTTTTACCGCCTCGTATTATAGAAAGTGTTATGCTCATTTAAATCCGTCCAAGAATAGTTTATGGATGCGTTTCGATATTTTCACTGCCAGTACTAACAAATATATAGTTTACGTCACGTAAACTATAAATTTTCAGTATTGGCAGTGAAAATCTAAAAATCGAAACGCAGCCTACATATAGTAGCATAGTGATATAAACTTTACATTGCAGGATTAGATGTAATTGATGTAAACTTGTTACGGGAACGAAAAGCTCAGTATTAAATTAATGTGAAACGGATAGAACGAACGAATGTATGTTTGAAAATAACGCAAGTAAAAATCATCAGAAACAAATTTTGTTAAATGAGAAAAATAGAACCTAAGTTTTTTGTACTCACGTGTGCATATATTAGAAAATACATTATACATTAAAAGAGTGAAATCGTATATAAAGAATTGATGTTAACGATAATGTAATTATATAAAACTGGTTTATATCAAAATAAAAGTACGGACAATCGATTAGGTAGGTATTCGTGTTTTATCTAACTTTATTCCATCTGACATGTGACGCGGAATGACACGCATTAAAAGATAATTCCTCGCTAGAACATTGACTTTCCAATCAGCCTGCTGTTATTCAACTTTTATTCAGTCACAAGGAACTTGGCGATAACTAAGTAACATATAATCTTCTGGAGAGATTATAATGAAGTGCAAGCGGCTCTAATTTCTTCAATAATGTCACAATGCATTATTATCATTAGTATCATTACGGTTTCAACGGAAGAAAATAATCGTGTTATGCAATTAGTCTTGAGAAAATTACAAGAAAAGCAACCTCTCTCGTCATAATCATTATTAAATCGCCTTGAAATTACTCAATTAAAGAAAAATATCACTTTTCTCGACAATAATGATTCTTCAGCCTTAAGTTCTTTTATTAGTCATAATTGAGATTATAATCAGGATTATTCAGAAGACAAAAACAAGAAACAAGCGGTATATAAATATATTTAATTAATAATAATCCTAGATTAATCTTACAATTAAATCCTTAAGAGAAAAGAATAATTATATAATTTTTATAACAAAAATTTTTTATACATTTTAATTATATGTATTGTCTTTAATAAATTAAGGCTGCCGGAATTTCAATTTTTTAACTATAACGACAAATGTCTCGCGATTCTTAATTAGCGTATCACTTTTGATGAATCGTCCCGCGCGCGCGAAATCACTTAATTTGCCTGATAACGATCTCGGCGCATCGGTGGCTTCGCTTGCTAATAAGTTTCACATGCCACCGAATAATTAACAAATACACACACGTGGAAAACGCGCATCCAGTCGCTGATTCGAGCAATAACACGTGCAGTTCTTTACGGAAATGCCACTTTGTCTGAGCACTTGAACTTACTCGCATTACCAAGACCGTGAAATTCACGTGCACGCGCACGCTTTCCAATTACTTTATAGTCCGCGCTATAGCAGCATGATCTGATTTTTCTATTCAATTAAAATGCCCATTTTTGGGCATTCACGGGCGTCGGAGAAATTGCTCAAATTTTTTTCTCCTGACTTTTTAAAGCGGATATCGCAGGCCCCCATTTCCGACGTAGAAAATATCCGACGGACAAGTTTTATCATTGTTATTTTCAATTACAAATGATGTCTTATTGTTGCACGCATCTTTGCGCGATAAATGAAGAAAGAGACATTCAGAAAATACGAGGATCATAAAAATTATAAGATAAGGCACACTTACCACGGACTCCTCATAAATTTTGTGAGCAATAATGCTCGTACTCTCGAACATGTCCTTTCCAGGACCGGAGGCGAAGCACATTTCCTTATTTCCGGGACACGTGTACTGGTCGGAGCAGTTTTGTCCAGAGAATTCGCACTTTGGTCCACGTGTATTTGGCGAAACGTCGCCAAGATTAGTCGAGGCGAAGGCTGCTACGAACTGGCCCTAATGCCCAAAACATATCATGGTGTTTGCATTACAAAATTTATGTTTATATATGTGTGTGCGTGGTAAAAAAATTTTTTCTATTCCGATTACTTCATTTAATTATCTCGTTGTTTAATAAACATCGTTATTAAACTAATTCCCACACGGAAAAAAATGCTGTTTAATTAAAAAAAAAAAAAAAAGTTGCTTTAATTAAACGTCGACGTCACGGGCTGCCACAAACATAAATAGTTACTTTAATTGAATATTATTAGGCCAAGTATTTAAATTATTAAAATAACTATCTGACGTTTTATGTTCAATAATATTGATGTTGCATTAATAGATTTCATCTCGATTACACTGATGCTGTTGATACAATATCATTTTTTTTTTCGTGCGTAGTTTCCTAATACATAGATTTATGTGAAAGTTTAAAATTGCTTTCAGGCACGCGCGATAAATATGAGAGAGATATCGTATATCGTTTTCCGTTATAACGGTAAATAAATATATTTAGGGCTTAGTCGTGCCACGATGAAATGCACCTTGTTTCAAGCGAAAATAAAGCAGTTAACTCTTAATTATTCTGACAAGATTTTGCACATCCCCACGTGCGAAATTAACCCGAAGTAATTTCAAAATATGCTTATGAACCAGAATTGTATTAGCTTGCAAACACGCGTGCTATTTTCTTGTGTTTACACATTGCAACACGCGCATCTGAGATTTTTCATTCGAGCTCCGGCTAATGCCGCTTGATATGTAAATGCATGTTGCAACCGCCGCGCCGTGCAGATGTTAAGAAATAATAGTCGCATAAAAATGAAAAGAAGAAAGAAGAGCAAGCGAAACGTGCAGCAGCGCAAACAATACAACCATACAATAGGAAGGTCAAATGGATTCACTTTGAAGTGGAAAGAGAAGATAATAGTGGTGGACACACGCAATCTCTTCTGCATGTGCTGTCTGCACGCGATGTATAATTTACAAGTGCGTTGAAATAATTTATTTAAACTTGGGGACATGTGCACTCCGCGGATTTCGCAATTATACATACTGCCTCGACGCGGCGGATCGGTTTATTGAAATTATTCGTTTTTTAGATTCAAACAGTAACACTCAAAAAATCCTCTTTTTTTAACAAGAATAAAAAAAAATATAAAAGAAATATTAGATTAAAGCAAATTTATTTATTAATTACAAATATACGTACTTTTATAGTGTTATCATGAACCGTTTTGGATCAATAAAATAATAAAAGTTGATTATTTCATAACTAAAATCCATTAAAGTCAATTTCGAACTTTGGATGTGCCCAACGTAGCGTTCGAAAATCGAATTCGATTTAGCGCGCAACCTCTCTGTAGCATGCAATGCAATGCGCAAACGTTCTCTTTATAGGCCATGTTCGATTTTACTCAAAGAAACACGTTTCCTATTGACAAATTAGACAGCTCAACTGAAACTTTGATCCACGATATCTCGAAAACTAGACGTCGTAACGTAATAGTTTATTTGCAAATATAAATGATCTATTTTTGAAAACCTTTTCAATGGTATCTGACTTAATTCAAATTTTTTTTGCTCAAAAAGGGAATTTTTAAGGGCCATTTTGGACGTCGCTCTTTTCTTGATCATAATTATAAATTGAACATCACAGCGCAGCCGTTGTAAATGGACTTACTTTGCCAACAATGGCATTATTGTTCATCATTTTCTCGAAGAGGATCGAAGCGTAGCCGACATTGTCGCTGGAGACCAAGTGATTCGTATTGTTCATGCTAGTTGGATGTACAGCGAACCAATTTATGGCGCCCAAGGGCTTATCATCCGCACCGATGAATTGCATTTGTGTTAGCGTCTTGTCCACATCGTACTCGTACCTGGAAGTGGAAAAGAGAATATTAATTTTGTGCAAACGTATAAAATTTTCTTCCGTAAAGTGACACTACTGACTGCAAATATACTGTCGTCATTGTGTTTTACATTTCCGTACGTCGTAAAATCGCGATTTAAGCGACAAGTGGACGCAAGTCCGTGAATTTCCAAGAATGCATACGCTTATATAGGCTTGCAAACACGTCGACGTGTGTCGTACATCGTGTAAAGCGCAATATACATGATTGCTCTGTGTATTCCGAGAATTAATAAACCTCAGTACCGAATATTCGGTGCCGAGTATATTCAGCAATCCCCTTACTAAGCAATTGCGACGTGATTTAGTCGACCGTGTCATTTGAGAACGTTGCGTTCGTAACCCGACTGCAAGGCTGAACTCGTAATGTTACAAACACTGGCTTCCGTATTGACGCTCTTATAATGATATATTAATAAGACTCTGCTTCTCGACCGGAATTAATTGTAAAATAATTGTGATGATACAATAATTATCATTATCTCTATGTTTAATTAATAATGTTCTAAGATTCGAACAGTAAATTTTCGTCAATTTTTCTTTTTCTTTCCCGAAACAAAAGTTATTTTGACCCTCCGCAAAGTTTGTCCCCTTGAGATGTATCAAAAGAATTACTATTACTTCATCACTCACTTATCTCTTTCGGATTTCGGATTATTAAGATATGCCTGCGGACTCCTATTAATGTTAGCATCCAAAACTTCTCCGTGAGTAATGAAGATCCTCCCGGGCACAACAGCATTATGGGCACGCTGGATGCTCTGTGGTGTCAAAACAAATATGCAGTCGTTTATTATCAGACCGGCTATTATCCTTGATCAAGTGAATCGTTCACGGTGTAACGTCGTAATGACTGTTTGCCCGTCTACTCACCTTCGTTATGCCGTTGACGATAGCGTCGAATGATTCTCTGACGAAGCCGAATGTAGTCAAGTCGAAAAGCACGTCTAGCATGAAACCACCAGGGGCCGAATGCGTATGCGTGCTACTAATCATCACGTTCCTCGCCGTGTACATGTCGCCAAATTGGGTCTTCAATTTGCGCAGCACCTGTGGCGGGAAGGACTGTGATTAACATCGCGTGATAATGATCGTATTTTGCGGCGCAGCTCACAATCTCATGAAGACCGAATGGTGCACTTGTGTACACAAGTATTGAATAAACGATACTTAAGGTTTGAATTTTTACGCTATATAATATAGGAGATATGGCGAAGATTTTAAAATATAAATCAATACACTTCCTGCGTTCTTTTTATTAGAGGTTGATTCCAAAATTCGACAGCACACAAGCAATGTTTTTTGTGCTTTCGGAATTTTATTGTATTCGCACATAATATTAAAACATGTATTTTGTGTAAAGTTTCGATGTCGTTATTATATGATTGTTTTAAAGATATAATTTTTACGACAAATTTTTTTTATTTGAATTTTATCAAGTATATCTTTTCTTGAAATTGTACTTTACGAAAATTTACAAATTAAAAAAAAAATGATAATATTTCTTAAATTATTATCTTTACAATGAGATTAGGTAAAAAATATATCATTAGAAAAAAAACATTTCAATAAAAAATAAAATTTAATATTACTCACAACTGAAAAAAAATATTTTGTATGAAGTACGAATTCTGGCATATGTTTTTATCCATGTATTATCGTTATGTACATTTCTCTGCACTATATTAATTCGCCACAATATTTTCAACAAATTCTAAATTAAACGGAAATTGTATTTTCGTCAAACAAAGGCTTTAAACATAACTGATGGAAATCGCAAATTGCGCAACAGTAAACAGATAAAGTATGAATTATGAAACTATGAAACTATGAAACTTAAAAAAAAATGTAAAACAGAGAGAGAGAGAAAGAGAGAGTCGAAGCCATTTTCTTATATTATCTTGAATATTACATCGGATCCTCAAGGTATTTAACTGTATTAACGTTGCTTAATGGCGCGCAAAAAGGAATCGGACGGAACAAAAAAATAAAATTACTCTTGTACATATTACATCTTTTTATCAAGCATTTAAACCAAAAATTGCTAGATAAATACTCAATTCTCTCTTCTCTCTTATACCTAAAATATAGATATTAGAAATGTAACTTATGTAATCATATGACTAAGAATGAGTATATGTACGTTACCTCCTGTCGGATGTCATTGCCTATCATCGCACTATCCACGCTGACAAACACAAACCTTTCCATCCCATCGTCAATTATGAAAGCTCTGGCAAACGTTCGAAGATGAAGGCCATTTCCTTTCTGTTCCATTTTCGCATATCCCATCTGAAATTGCGCATAACAATTGATCTACTTGTTAAATCTACTTGTTCAAAGCTCATATATGTATACATAACCGTAACATATTCGTAAACTTTTTAAATAAAAGCTTGAAGAGATATATTTTTTGTGATTTTACTCTATAATATAATTTTTTTTTATCGAAATAAATGTTTTTTTTTTATTGTTATACTACATATTAATACACGATTTCTCGGAATTGTCTATCTCGAAGCATATACATTATACAACGTAGGATACTAACGAAGACAATTTCTGCGGTCGGCCCCGTGCTGTCAGCCCTTCCGACGCCGATACTGTACGAGGCAAGTGCGGTAGGTGCTAGTAACAGGAGAAGCCATAACGCAGATAAACCACGAGTTCTTAGGAACGACCGTACCGAAGTAGCCATTCAGTTTTGTGAGCCCCTTAGCTGTCCGGACTGAAAGCAAAGAACAGAATGACAGATTCGCGTCTGTAACCACGAATGATATCTCTCGGACACTCGACTTATTCGAGTATCATGCTGCAAGAGATTTATAGCTTTACTGTTTGTCATCGAAAGAATAAAAATTACTGTTTTTTTTTTTTAATCACGTTTCTCCGTTTGTCAGAAGACATTCGCGCGTCAACATGATACGATATCAACCCGTTACTGTTAGAGATAAGAACGCCACCTGTGCAAATTTTATTAAATGTAATATGCGAGATGACGTGAGGTAGGTTGCGCCGCTAAACCGCAATGAATTATTACGTCATAGAAATTCATTGTCACGAACGTATGCTACAAATAACAAAGAATACTCTAACAATCTTATCCCATTATCTTATATATCAGATATTTTTATTTTTAATATACACGACCGAAGATAATGCACATAACAACATTTTCGCACGTTGATCATGTGATTTATAGTGGCGATTATTTCGAGTTGTTGTTTCAAAACATTTGCCGATACTCTCGTTGATTGTACGAATGATCTGATCAATTGCTAATTGAATCATAAAGGAGGAATATTGATCTGAAAAGCGGTCCAAGGACGACCGATGGTGACGAAAATTATACTTTCACTGATCAGTGGTTAGCGAGCATTCGCAAAACAAGAATGCATAAATAAAACTTTCACGAGCGATTACGTGATTTTACCTTTGGATGGCTGCTGTCGGAGTTACGGCAGGAATGTGGCTTACAAGGAAACCGCAAATCTGCAAAGAATGCAAAGACTGCAACGGTTAATTCCTCCTCTATATTGAACGTACATCGCTGTCTTTTGCTTTGTCACTCGAATAAGATATTGAGGGAATTTTGAAAAAATTCTTTTCGAGAAGAAAGATTACATATATATCATATATAAAGTTAACTAGAAACTATATAAGATATTCGCATATTGTAATATCGCAAATGTCAGGCACTATTACACGATGAAATGTATATATTATAAAAACTTAAATATAAATATCGGGAAAAATATGATGAATAATTGTACAGTGGCAGTTTTTTTTAACTCTGCTGTCTTCCACAAAAAGGCGAAAGGTATATGCCAGTTAATCATAGCATGACAGTTAGTCGCGTAGATCGCACTGTCAAATTGTCTGATACGAGCAACACGTGCTGCGTATGTCAGCGTATACAGGTAAACTGCTGATAAAAAAGAAGTATACGCGTTTCCTGGGTAAGACACGTAAGTGTTCATGTATGCATATGTCGCTCGGTATTCCAAGCGTTCTAACAACAGCGCATTCATAAATGTGTCGAGCGACATATATAGATGCACATATAGGTACGCGTTCGAGCATGTTGGGTGCGTATATCGCAAGCTAGCGCAGCTAGCTTTCGTACACATACCAACCAATTGCGTGACGCGGTTCGAGATATTTGTCATCTGCTGGAATTTTCACTGTTCTCGCATCGATTGAATGGCCATCTGTACGCGTCAGAATTTCAATAGAATGTCAATGGTATTGTCAACCGTGAATTTTTGCAACTCCAATATCAAGAGACCGCGAGATTCTATTCCATATTGCAATTATAAATTTTTTCATTCGAATAAATCTTCTTGCATTGCATTCCTAATTTTGTCTTGTTGAATTTCGAGAGCTTCGCAAAGAGAGACTTTAGAGACTAAATCATTCGTAATACTTCACCTACATCTCGCTCTCTATTTCGTGGTTCGCTGAAATTGTGCCGAATCACCACATTTCTTCTCTTTATGAAAGCATAAAACGATGCCATGAAACGAGTCTAAGTATTTAACAATAATTGTAAGGCTGATAAAACGTGAAAGCAGCATTAGCGTGAACGTTAACGCTACAATGTGCAAAATATCAAATGCACATATAATACTTACATCGAGATTAACTCAAGCGATTAAGAAAGGTGCGATATGAAAGCACAAGTTTTGTAACGCTAGTGAATAAAAGTAACAAAAAGAAAAATTTTCCTTTGTAGTATCTTCTTGATCCTTATGTGCAGTCGAGAAATGTTAAATCGTTGCATGTGAAAAAAGTTTTATATCAAGAATTTTCAGATAATATAAAATTTCAGAATTCGCATTTTTAAATGTAAAATACTTTAAAGTAAAAATTTAAGATTACCTAAGATATAAATTTTTAAGTTATAATTAAATGTTATAATTTAATTTACAATATAAAAATAAAATTTTTTATTGCAAAATTTTTTAAAAATTAAAAAGTAAAATAATTTAAATTTTATAATTTTAAAGCATTAACTTTTACAGTTAAAAATTTTTTAATATAAAATTTAAAAATATATACAAATTAATATATAAATAAAAAAAATTAATTTAAAATTTTAAAATTACAAAATTTTAAATAAAAAATTTAAATTATGGAAAGACTTGAAAGATACGTGGAGTTAAGAAACAAATGTTGCATGCGTAGCATGTGTCTTTAGTATTTAAGTTGCATTTTAAAATAAAATATTTAAAAACTAGAGACGCAAAAATTGATTATTATAATATAAGTAATAAAAAATAAATCTTTTATGCATATGTATAACGATAAATCATTCAGTTTTTCTTTCAACCAGTATATTTTTCTACTAAAATAAAAATACGCCAAACCGAGGTGAAACAAATGCAGCAATAATATTTCAAATATTTCCTGTGACATCACCTTCATGGAGTGAGTGGTCAATAAAATCTCAAACTAATGAATCTCCATAATACATTCGTATGCAGATTGCTCTCACAATTTGCATTTCACAAATTTAAAGTGCAACTAACATTGTTCGCGAGACATAAAATTCACCGTAAACTTTAACTAGCGCTTAAGATAAAACACTGTAACTTAACATAATTAATGGTATAGATTTATGCTTTAATTTCCTTATTACTCTTATCGATTTTCTGTTCTATATGTTCCAGCTATTCAATTTAATCCTAAGAAGCTTATTCTAGTCACGTATACGTTATATATGTATGTATTACTCGAACAATTCAGTATTCTACATTCAATTTATCTTCTAATACGATTTTAAGACTATTTCCTCATAGCTGTCCCTTGCATACATGTAACCTGCATTCAAAGAATCCAATAAAATGTTTTTCCATTGCCCATTATTCCTACATTATCTTTAAAATATTCTCGCCGGACCGTATTTTTATCTTGCGCTCGCTTTAATTACCGTCAATTTAAGTTATTGGTAATTGGAAGCATCGTAATTAAAAGAAGAGCTTTCCGATAATGGTCCAGATATATTACAAACGTGATTTCTTCTTCAGAGAACATTGATCTCCGAGGCTATGACCTACTGTATCACTTCACGTAGGAATTACAAGAATTATATGCTTGCGTTGCCGATTAAATTGTAATATATATTATTATATAAATTTTTATATAAAATCAACTTTCAGCCAATATGCCAAGTATCGCGTAACTAATACTCTATAATGAGAATCACTGTCTCTTAAACTGATGAGTTACACGCGAGAGAAGATCGGACGAAATATAAATGCCGGATGCTGTTAAATTTCGCCGGGGCGGACGATTATGCCAGTTATGTCGATGCCAAAATGAAGAACACTTTCACTTTTTTCGCGAAATCTTTCGACGTTATTTATAACGTTAATCTATATTTCTTGTACCCCGATGTAGAAATCATTTTTCATATTTTTCATAAGTAACTTAATTAAATTTTCATGTTCCTTGCTTTAAAATAAAATACAGTAGACCCCTATATAACACGGGTTCATATAACACGGATTCCTATAACAAGACGGAAAATTTTTAATATTTGTTTGCTTTAAAATAAAAGAAAAAATATTTTACTGTTATATCTTCAATATTTATTTTACATTTTCTTATAATAAACCCTTATATCTTTTCTAAATATGTGTTTCTATATATATAATCCATATATACATATATACTCTGTGTGACTCATATCACACAAATTTATATAATACGAAACGCATCTTCCGTGTTATACGGAGATCCGCTGTATATTTATTTCAAAAGCAATAATTATCATTTTACACCAGCGGCAATATTAATTGCGCAATAAAATTAGGTGAGTGAAACACCCTTTAACTTTAAAGTGTGACAACATCCAATTTTATTACAAAGATAAACATTAAAGCTCAAATTTGCAACACTTTATGCGATAATCTTGTCACGTTGAGCGAACACATGCATAATGTTTCTGAATATAATTTGAAGATAAATATATAATGGAAATTTTTGTATTTGTAATGGATTGTCGCATTAAATATCGTGTAATATAAATATAGGATTAAAACATAAAAGTAGCAGAATAAGGTATTATTTCGAAGAAAATATTTTTCACTTAAAACGTGAAATAAATAGGAAAAATTGGTGAAAATAATATAACAAAAAATGACCTTGACAATATTATAGCCTTAATATCCTCTATTAATAACAAAGGACAAATTTAAAGTCACACACCTGTAACTCACATTTACTCCAATTTTAACCACACGTAAGTGCTCCAATAATGCCGCCTGCGTCTTTGTAATAATAATAAACAAATTCAGTAAACAAACCGGTTGTCACGAAATTGGCACACTCTCAATTTCTTGTAAGCGGAGCGTCACTATTTCCGGTCATACAGTCCACCAGCAGCAGTACCAGGGAACAAAGAGAAATATGTCACAGTACTCACAGCCAGCCGGTGCGTGACAAGTTTACGTGGAACTCGTCTAACTAGCGTAATAACCAGCGATAATTCGAGTTATCGCGACCGATATAAGAGAGGCACACTCACTCCAATTAGTTGAAACATTGACAAGTATTTTTTTTTTGCAAGATGAACGATTCACTCGATCGCGATTACAGAGATCGTCGATCCTGCTGGATCTCCGGAGGCAAGAAAAAGGAACATGCGGCGCCAGCTGGGAGCTGGGACTGCGATGCAAACAGGCTACCGGCCCGTCACCACGGAGAGACTCTGTTCGGATACCAAACCAAACCCAACGTTGGGACTCACATGGTCGGCGATGAGAAGAAGGGGAAACGGAAACGATTCCACGGCTATTCTCACACCGCAGGCACACATACACATACGCACACGCACACACACACACACACACATACGCATGCATCTAGTTTCTTTCTCACAATCGGCTCCGCACCTCTGCGTCTTTCGTTTTCTCTCTTCTTCTCGCCTTGACACAATGTATACATGCATAGGTCAATAGTTGAACAATTGCCAGAGAATCACCACGTCACAGTCAGAATGTTGACAGAAGAATGTCGATTTGAATTCATAAACTCATCCAATCAACCCAGTAGAATTTCGCTTTGAGAGAGAAAAACCAGCTTTCGTGTCACGTATAAGGACAACAGATTATTCCACATATGTCATTCCAGGTTATTATTCGAGTACGAATGAGTTCTGATAAAGCGATGTAGAGCGATTGAAGTTAGATTCAATTATAAGCTGAATTATAAAAGTTCCCGAGATGTAACGATGAGATAATCGAGTTAATTTAAGAGCTTTAAATTAAGTCTTTCGTATTACTGATTGATCACATGTCACATTAATATCTGGGATTAACACATATTGATCTTATCTTTCTCAGTATTTCCTAATCTATCAATCATTTAATTTATTTTTAAGAAGGTACGTAAAATGTAAATAGATATCTGAGTTAATATATAAGTAATTAACATAAAAGGATCTTTGTGTTTTAAAATCCTTTAGATTATGTTAAGTAATAGGGGAGACCGGGGCTCGTTGGCACAAGAGGCAAGTTGGCAATGCGTTCCGTTTATGTATTTATAGCGAAAAAAACAATGGAAAAGTTATCACAAAATATCTCGTATATGACATAGGTACTTTTCCTAAAGTTCTATTTTAATCAGACAAGTATTACAATAGAAAAAGAGAAAACTCTGATTCAAGAGGTGGCAAGTAAATTTTCGAGCGTTTCAAAATATCGTATTAATGTTCTTCAGTTTGAGAAGTAAATCAAAGTGACGTATCATTAGTTAAAAGAAAAGTTTCTGTTACTATACGACATGTTATTTTAACTAACAACAGTAATTTATTGTAATATAAAATAACTGAAATAAAACGTATGTAGGATGGGGTATGTTGGCTCATATCAAGACACGCTTAGCTTGACTTGTTGCCGCGCGCGTGAGACCTGTTTGAGCATGTGATTTGCTACCTACAGTGCTGATAGAAGCTAGATATATATTTATATTAATATTTTTATGATGAAGAAAGCTACATAGTATAGCTACATAAAATAGTTTACAATTGTTTACAATTGTTCAGTTTTTCAGGGACATAATACAATAAAAATGATTAATCATTCCTCTATAAACATTTTTCAGTACTTTTTTAAAGAAAATTGATATTCAATGTTCTGTGTAGATTAATTTTATAATAAAATTATTATAATAAAATGTTTAATAATAAAAATTTAATTATTATACATGCATTAAAAAATAAGTACGTGTAAACTCATATTTCTGAATATGTATATTTGTTCTTGGCAAAAGTACACATAATATCAAAAATTATATGGCACACGCGTAGCACGCGCTTGTTATATTCCAGTAATATTTGAAAAGAGATAAATAAATAATAAAATACAAAACGCTTATGAAATAATGCTTAAATAATAAAACGCTTTTATTATCTCTATAATATCATAATTTTTACTCGCACAGGCGTGTGTACAAATTATTATGTAAAGCAAATCACACTATATAGAAATTGCAAAAAATAATATACGCAAATTTCTGAAAAAATTCTGGGATTTAGAACGACGATATTTCAAGCGACACAAACTTACTGTTCGTGGCAGACTATATTTTCTCAGAGGCAAAAATGCATTCAAATGTTTGGCTTTATATAAGCTCTCGCGAAGTGTATTTAAACATCTCTCTCGGTGAACAGTCAAGTGTGAGAGAATATATAAGGAGAAAATATCGTCAACGAGAGGGCAACTTTTAAATAGTCGATGATACGAATGCAAATGGTTGTGCACAGAGTGTAAAAAGAGCAGAGTACACTGAACGCTCCGGTTTCCCTTGACTCCGATACGAGCGTGCATACCAGTTCGTAGCATTATTTTTCCAGCTATCTTTCCCATGATTTCTCAAAAATACTCACGGGTAACAGCAATCTTCGATATAAAGTCCGAGCCGCAAACGTAAATTTAAATTAATCAATCGAGTGTAACGGTAAACACGTAAACTTTTCGTGTTTTTGCAATCTTTAAAAAATTTATATTTACATTTACATAATCATGAAGAAAAATATATTATTCAATTCGAATCGTTAACTGTGTATAAACTCATAAATAAATACTTACAAATGACATTAAAGACGTTTTCTTATGGAGTCTGGATTTAGCGTGATAGATGGTAGTCATCTCAAAAAAATTTCTCTCCCGTCGTCTGGCTTGCGGAAGACTAGCATCCTGTTCTTTTTAAGATCTTGTTTGAAAAATGAGCTTCTTGCAAAACCTTTATCGCGGTATATTATAACAAATTTATAAGATGACGCATATACGTACAAAATATTCAGATGTCATCGTATATGCGTACAATCTCAATGCTTGAAAGGAAAAAAATCAATAATTTCTTACATATTTACAATTACAAAACTTTGTTGCACATACATAAATAAATTATATTTATTAATTAATAAAACATGTAATAAAAACTATTTATTCTAATAGTATCAGAGAAATGTGAACTCTCAGCGCACTTGTCAATTTAGAAACGTTGCGTCAACGTTTTCCCATTTAATTACAGCTTTAATTAATTTGCTTTGATTAATTGTGTACTAATGTCTTTTCGATGATGTGATTGTAATTGACAATTAAACTGTACGAGCGAGGCATTGATGTAACTTTTAAAACTTTTCAATTTCCGCGCAAATCAATTTGTCGTAGCATGCACGAATATCGCGGCACAAATAAGTCAACGACAATTGCTTATTAAGAATTTATCCTCTTTTCGTTCAATTATTATGTGATCAAATCAATCGTGAGAGCAGCACCAAATAAATAAAATCGATACGTCGGAACAATCGTGTACTCTAGGCGTAACGTCGGAACACGGACTGTCACTTTCATCGATCCGCGGCGACTCGGGTACTCGCCGTAAAGGAGAAAGTAAAACGAAGCGGATTGTGCAATTATCGTCTCTACAATATAGCTCAAACAATTTCAGCGTAACAAAATGCTGGTCTGATGTATCGACAGTGCGCGAAAGAGTAATACTAATCGAATCATCGACTGTCTCTTGCTAAAATGATTGAACAGTCGTAATACAAAAATAAAATAGTCTTAATTGATCGGAATTTGATATCGGAAATATGTCATATTATTTTGAAACTTGTCATGAGAACTAATGGAGAATTTGTTATTTGCTTGCAATTTAATTTTGTGTCAAAAAATTTTAAATAAATCCTTAAAGAGCAGGATACACTATAAAGAAATTCAATAATCCCAGTAAATTGCAGGAAAGTAAAAAGCTTTCTTATAATCCTCGTTTAAATGTAGAAGTTCAGAGACGGAAAGAGTTCAAAAGATGTTTACTTCATAAAAGCGGTAGAAAACTGAAAACTGCTTTCTCGAGATAAGTATAAGGTATTTCATATGCGATATGACTTGTTAAAAATGATATATACATAGAGATTTAAATACTGGATCTAGAAACTGGTTTTAATTAATATGAGAGTAAGAAACGATATAATTGTGACGATTTAATATTAAAAAAAATTACTTTCAGTCTTTTCCCTTACGCAGATTTCAGGAAGTATCGCGTTTCTTTTTTGCCGCAGGAAAAAAGCATCGCTCTGACTTTCCAATGTTTTTAATAAATGACAGCTTTGCACATTGTATGCCAATGCGTTACACGCAATAATCGCAACCCGATGATGCGAAATATCGCATTACACTGAAAATACTATTCTTATTTCCGAATGAACCGTTATGATTCACAACCGGGATTATTCCCACCGGTTTCCTTATTTTACACATGCATCATCTCAAAACTTTCAGCCGATTATTGCATCCATCTTTCCTTTTCTTCCGTGTTTAAAAATACTAGTTGGTTTTTAATGCTAATATATTAGCCGTTATCGCTGGCAATTTACATAAAATTATGCAATCCTAGCAATTTGTTTACAAATGAAAGTTGTTAAATAAGAAGTGAAAATGTATTGTGGAACTGCGAAGACTTCTAAATACGAGAACTGTTTTAATAACGGCATGTTATTGCCACTTTGCAGCAATCGATTCGCAGCTAATTTGTAGCGCAATATCATGAGCTGCATATATATAAACTTATTTAATCAATATTTCAGAGAATGTGATTGTTTTGTAGTTGCAGCCTTAATGTTTGCGTTTTTCTCATGACATTTCGACTTTTTAGATGCCTTGTGATGAAGATAATTGAAATAGTTCTTATCACGTATGTGCATTGATAAAAAATTTAATTTCTTATGATCTGTTCTTTTCATAAAGTGATATCTTATCTCCTTAGAAATAATACCTATTTCTAAAATTAGAACAATAAATATAAATATAAAAGTATCAAAATAAATAAAAATGGAATAATAGAGAAAGAAATATATATTTCTTAGTAAAAAAACAAAATACATTTTATTATTTTGATAATTTTATTTATTTTATATATTTATTATTCTACTTTTATAAATGCATTCTTACTTATACAATAAAAGCATGTGCATATACAATTTTCTATTCATTTACTATTAAAAGGTAAAAATATATTAACTCCTTTTTCAAAAAAGATTTTTTACTCTCTAAAAGTCGAAGAGTGAAATATCAATATCACTCAAAACGAGTGAAATGTAAGTGTAACGAAAAGTGAAAATTGATGAAGAAAGAGTAAAATTGCAATATAAATTGGAGTGAAATCGCACTCCATTTAAATGAAGATCAGTATTTATAAGAGTAAACTATGTCACTCTACAATTTTGAGGAAACTTTTACTCTGTTAGAGTCATTTATCAGTCGATCTTTAGTGAATCGTGATTCACTATAGCTTCAGAGTGAGATCGCATCACTCCTGTAGAGTATAGCCGCTCTAAAATTTGAAAAATTCACTTCTACCTTATGAGTGCCCGCATTTATTCAAATTAGAGTGACAACTCTCTGTTTTGAAGTGACTAGCGCAATCACTCTAATATATTAGTAGCAAAACCACTCTATGAGATTTAGAAAATATCTTGTTCAAATTAATCTTTACCGGGTGCTCTGTTCGAATTAATAGCGAAAGAATAAAAATACTTTTATTACATAATTCAATCTCAAGCTATCGATTGAGTCTACTCAGAACTCGATCCGTTCAGTCATTATCGAGATCTCAAAATCTCGGGTACTCGCAACTCGTCGCGTCGCGTAAAAGAATCACGGTGCGGTCTCGCTTCGCGCATATACTTGGCGCGAGACCGCACTACCGCGTGTCTCTTGATTTTCTCGCTCAAGAAAAGATATTATCCGGCATTTTATTCCATTTTTCTGGTAGACAGAAATAACTGTGTAAGCTATGAAACTTTCCACATTAAAAAGTAATAGTTTAATTCTCATTCAGGTTCAGAGTTCTCAAGGAAAAATTCCCCACTCGAAGATGAGAGTCATTAATCACGAACGTTGTATTCAAGTTTCTCTTGAACGTACGAGAAATACACGAAACGCAGGAACTTGAGTTCTTAAGTTTGTATGTACATACAATAACAGGTCAATCAATTCTCGTGTTTTATACTTGCTGATGAAGTCAGCATAAAAAAATATTTGAGTCCGATTTTGCGGTGGAAGCCAAGAATTCCATTCACAGATTTTTGCAAGCGTTGCGACAACGACACTTGTTGAAACGCGTGTAAAAGGGTTCATTCGCACGAACGTAACAGGAGACGACATAAGCTGTCAGCATATTTTCGCTGACGCGCCGTTGCGAAGAATCATTCTGCCCATCAAATCCTGGGTTAGTCGTTGCCGATCTAATCCCACGTGAAGATCGGAATAAAGCCAGGAATTTTGTATGAGACGATCGCAACAAACAACTTAGAGATTAATCGAAAGTAAGTCTTTTAATTTCATCGCGTCATTCGAGGTTTAGTGCAATTTAATTAAGTCTGATCTTTGGATTAATTCCGTTTTGTTTAATTTTTTTAATGACTAGTGCGTCTTTTGGATAAATCGAATAAACTGCACGTCGATAAAGGTTCGCCTTCGCAAATGGTTGATGTTCCAATCGATTCACCATGTTGCGTTGTGTTGACGGATTCGAGGATTCGAAATACAGGTAAGTCTATTACTTGAAAATTAATATTTGAAAAATATAGATTCAGTTATATGTCATCAGTTTCTCATTGAAAATTGTGAAGAATATATTAATAATGAATTAAAAAATCATGGAGAGAATATATTGTATTACAGTATTCATTTTGCATTAATAAGCTCAGTAATGCTATATTGCAAATATTGTTTTATTATCTATCTATAAAATTTTAAAATGAATATTGGTCACAATTTTAGGTATAACATCCAACAAATGCAAGACGAAGTCGGGCGGGGACAATCACTCGAAATTTTACGCAAGCCACAAACGTATTCTTCTGACTGGAGCAATTTTAATCTTATTGATTACACTTTTTTTGACAATTATTAATCTTACGTTTTCCATACTGTCCGGACATGACGCTCGTGAAGCTTCAGGTTAGTAAATATTATAACGTACGTAGAGTAAATATTACGCGTATTATTTTTCCTGAGAAATTTGCTCTTGATCGCTCTCGCGATCGTCAATTTCCAGCCGATGTCCTCGAAAAATCATCTCTTCCACCGTGATTCTTTCAGTTCGCATTCAACCGGAAACACGCTTGGAGCGAGTGATCAGGCTAGGCTTCCCTCTCGGCAGAAGATCATTGTTGAAATCCCGGGCGGGAAAAGTGATCGATGGAGACCCATCTTTCAACGATCAAACGGAGCTTACCAGCCAGATAACGCAAGTTGCAGAAAGCGACGCATTTCCAACGATAAATGGGGGAGACGCCGACACGCGTTCCAAGCGGGAGGTAGTATCTCGCAGAAGAAGAGATTGTGATCTGAAGGCGAAACAATGCGAGATGCTGTTGAAAACGGTGCAAAGCTATCTTGAGGCTCTCAGCATTAAGTTTCCGGAAAAATCATTACCCACAGATATCCGGAAATGTCTCGATTGCAAGGAGTTGTTAAACAACGCGGATGAAAACGACGTGGATCACGCGCCACAATCGAAAGATCGATATTTCCCGCATGATTACGCCGAGCAAAATCACTCGAGCGATTTTGGCCCGGCCATTATCAAGCTGCTGGATAACGGACAGGCTGAAAACGGCACAAAACGGACGGAAATTAATCAGACGGAAGCGGCAAAAATTCAGCCGCCAGTGGAGACAAACTCAGTTACGAACAATTCATCACAAAACGTCATGAATCAATCATCGACGAGTACCAGTACGCCGGAAATCACTACTATGTCAATACATCAGACAGATTACAATGGAAGCCGACGAATAGACGTGAGCGACATTGACATTAACAATTCGGGCATTAACGACAAACAGTCGGATAGTAATCCAGCGGCAAACGATTCGCGCGTGACAAAAAATCAAAACGACGAAATCGTTTCTGCCGCGCCGAAAATCGACGAACCACACCGTGTGGCAACCGAGAGCAAAGATGTCACGAACGCGAAGTCGTGGTTTACGACGGAGTCGAGTAGCATGAGGACGCAATACAACGCTATTACGGGAGATGAACAATCTAGGAAAACCACAATCGCGACTGATTCGATAGGAACGACCGAAACGAGAATACCGACATACGAGAATACCGCCATCGATCTTACGACGCAGATTACTGAAAACGTGACGAGTGTGCCGACGGGAAACGACGTGATCAGAATCGACGGCGGTGGCACGATGCATTCTTCGGTGCGTCCTTCGTTCGAGGGACACCTGGAAAATCGATCAGCTACACTGACGAACGGTATGTGGTCGGGAAGAATACGAAGAAGAGGAAGTCGCGAAATAATTAAATCGTGACGGGGAGAGCTCGCTTCTTGTACCAATATTTATGCTACGGATGTGCTTCTTTAAGCTGTGTGGGCTCCTCCCTTGTGTTTTTTTTCCGCCGATTCTTCTTTGCTCCGCCACTTATTTTGATATTTTCTTTTTAAAGTTTATCAAAAAATATTTGTAATGAGTGAACGCACAGAAATTCAATTTTATTGTGACTTGCATCCCTAAGATTGCGTAAGCTGGAAGTATTGGGATATTCATCCTATATAACGTAAAACTCGCTTGATATGACTTGAAATGAAATACCTACGAAGAAAGTTCTAATCTAATTCGTAAATAAAAAACGAAGTACTAAGTTTTTTCCAGACTGCTAGACTTCTACCAATCTACCATTTTCACGAAATAATAATGAAATTCTTAAGAAAGGAATATATGCTTTGCAGGATCGAAGTCGATGGAAAATCAGCGCGATTACGAACAGTTCATGTCGGCTGACCAATTTCAAAAGGACAACGGCAAATCGATTCCGGTAACCACAGAGAGCACGAAATCCTTTCAGCAGCTGCAACCGACACCAACGATGTGGACAATACCGCATCCGGTTTGCTTCTTTGGCCAGTATCCCGGACAATCCTCCAACACGCCATTATCTCCAGTATCAGCGTTTTACCCAGGTCCCACCTCCTCCGCGCAAAGTCGCGGCTTCCCGTTCCTAAATCCACCTAATCAAGGCTCCTCGTCGCCAAATTATATGCAGGTGCAGGCGAACACAGTGCAGTTTATGCCAAGATTAAACTACGTCGGTAATCTGGCTCAACCGCGGCAAGACGTCGGTCCCACGGGACCTGCCATGAGTGCCATGTCGAACCACGCACCGGCCTTCTCGCTGAATCAGCAACCAACCGCGATGTCCCAGCAGCCAATTGCAAACATGCCGTATTTTTGCGGTTACATATCATTGCCAACCATTCGCTTCCCGCCGATCCCTGGCACGTCGCAATCTGACCGTTCTGCCGACGAAGCGAAAGATCTTCCAAAAGAATCAGAAAAATCACCTCAGAAGTACGGTGTTATCACACGAAATAACCCACGTAAGCAAAGTTTCGCAGATTTTCTGCGCGAAAGATTCTTTCCAATTATCTTATCTATCATTTCTCTTTTTAACATATTCTAATCTTATCTATCTTAATTATCTTATCTATCATGTTCTCCTTTTTATCATACTTTAAAGAACGTATAAAGTTTAAATTGAGACAAAATTTTCTGAGAAAGTAAATTAGAATGTCATCTTTAACGGCGTGATAATTGTTTTAGAGTCTTCCACGTTCAACAGATGTCCTATAAATTATCATCAATGCGATAATCTGAACTGCGTCCCAAAGGTGAAATGGTGCGACGGCCGTGTCGATTGCACCGATGCCAGCGACGAGACAAAGTGCTCCTGCAGAGATCGAATATCGCGTGATCGGCTTTGCGATGGTTATTTCGATTGTCCACATGGAGAGGATGAACTCGGTTGTTTTGGTAAAAAACATATGTTTCGTTAAAACTTTTTTTATATACACAATTTAAATAAAATAAAAGACAACTCGATTCTGTTCGGATGTTGTTTGCATTCAATATTTTTTATGTGCACATTTACATTTTTATATAATTACATTTTTATATAATTTGTTTAAAAAATTTGTTTAAAAATTTACTGAATTAGTAATATTGTTAATTTTTAGCATTACGTAACTTTAAAAAAAAAAGATTAAACATTACACTGACGCGTGCTACGCGCTTTTTTTTTAATTTAACTCTAATATTATACTATATTACATTACACCATTAACCTCTTGATATACAAAATTGCCAAAATATGTGATGACAGATGCTCATAAAACCTTTTACACGGCTTTTTTATGAGTGGAATATATGTGACATAGTAGAAATCTAGGTAACCAGCTGAGCATTTCTTCCCTTATCTTGAATGAAACAAGAACTCTAATGAAGAATTAATAAAGAGAATTGTGTTTAGCCGTAACTGCATTGTTAAAAAATAATAGTTATAAATATAATATTATTTTTAAATATTATTATGATTGTCCACCAGATGACGCTAAATACTGGTCAAATTTACGAAAGCTACTTTATCCACGAAACTTTTCTTCATCGCAAGCGGTTTTTACGAAATATAAACTTATCATGACAAAAAAAAAAGACTTACACGTAAACGTACAAAAAGATTTAAAAGAAATGTATGCTATTAAATTTTCCCGGTACCTGTAGAATGATAACAGATTGGCAGTTTAATTACCAGGAAAATTTAATAGCGTACATTTCTTTTAAATCTTTTTGTACGTTTACGTGTAAGTCTTTTTTTACAACAAATTTATTATCTGTGTCCACATTAAACACGTTATTTTTTGCTGGTAAAATCTGCCGATGTAATCTGACAGCAAATTGTCAGAAACCAAACAGAATCTGTCATTCTGTAAACTATTCCATTTAAATAAATATTTCTATTAAATGGATAATAAATAATTCCATTTAAATGGGATATATACATCATGGTTACGAAACGGCAGATTTTGCTCAGTTTCTGTAGGAAATCTGCTATTATATTCTGTTAACAGATTTATATTGCATTATATTTCTGCTGACATTCTATCGACAAAATTTGCAGCAGACACTTTCAAAATCTATTCTCAACAAATTTATGTGATAAATGCTTAATTTCTAGGATGCCCATTAGACTCTTTCAATTGCGACGACTGGGACAGACGTTATAACAGAGACAATTGCGTATCACTTTTGCAACGTTGCGACGGGGTACAGCAATGCTCTAACGGAAAGGACGAACTTGACTGCAATATACTTCTAGAAACACACGTGGGTCCAAACGATGTAAGAGCAGAATATTTATACATTTACTTATTATTGAAATTCATAGTATTTATAATAATATTTATCATAATTTATAATTAGATTCAATTAAATTGCCATTTACAATCTTGGATCTTGGATCTTGGTAGCCCAATTATTATACATATATTTTTTTGTAAATCGATTTAATTACGGGAAGGAAGGGGATTTTACTCCAACGGCAACTGTGTTGTAAGTCTGACAAATCTAATGGGCGCGCTAGTTTACTAATGTTGGAAGAGATATGTGTAATATAAAAAAAAAGTATAATAATTGGGCTACCAAGATCTAAGCTCGGACCGTAAATGGCGATTTAATTTAATCTAATTTAATTGTATATCATAACACACGATTGTATTATATTTCTCGTATTAATAATTTATATATAACATTTTCCAATTTATCTTTTAATGTGTATTGTTTTGTTTGTAGATATTTACGGTTGGTTATACTCAAGGGTATCTGCATAAGAACGTACGAGGACAATGGTATCCCGTTTGCTCCAAAACACTCACTTGGGCAGTGGATGCTTGCGCGTCGGAAATTGGTCATCCACTAACGTATGTCATCGATCGTTTATAATACACGTATATAAGTCGTGCACTTGAAAATTTTTGCTGATAATAAAATTTATTAAATCTCCGAGTTAGGAAATTTCGCAAACCGTTATTAATTTGATATGTCTTTGCAGAACGATGCCGAAAATACAAACCGTTCATGTGCCTGAGAACACCTTTCAAGATCCTTACGTGATAGTAACCGATAATAATAATATAAAGATGATGTCGTGTCAGGGTACAGCGGTATTCGTCAAGTGTCCGCCGTTGCCTTGCGGCACCAAAGCCCTCCCGCGTCAAAACTTCTCCCCCGTCTTCAACACGACGAAGAACAATTACAGAAGACACGCAAAGGAACAATCGGCCTCGGAATTTAATAAGCTCTACCGGGAGACACTGGGGCTGTTGAACGCTAGTCAATCGATGTCCGAGGAAAAGATGCAAGATCAGAATGATACTATTGTCGGGTCGCAATTGCGAGTAGTCGGCGGCCGAGCGAGTCAGCCCAAAGCTTGGCCCTTCCTGGTCGCCATTTACAGGGATGGTAATTTTCATTGCGGCGGTGTTATCCTCACTGAAGTTCACATACTCACCGCAGGTCACTGCATGTATGGGTAAGGGCGTTTTCAAAAACAACTCAGCTGTACGACAATATATATTACAAGCGACAACGAATTATCATATTTCTCGAACGCAAATATCCTTTCTATCGATTTAAAATGTGTGTTTGCTAATAATTTTCAGATATGAGGGACATTATTACGAAATACAAGCTGGTATACTCAGACGGTTATCATTTTCACTGACGACGCAGTGGAGAAGGGCGAAACACGTGATTATACATCCCGGCTTTGTAAAAGAACAGATGCAGAACGACATTGCAATGATCGTATTGGACAAACCTCTTCTTTTCAATCGATGGGTCCGCCAGGTCTGCTTACCAGCATTGAATACCGCGGGTCTTGCATGGAGAGAAGGTCCGTCGCCACAATCCGTATGCGTTGCTGTTGGATGGGGAGCCATAAGAGAAGATGGGCCAGATCGTAAGCTAGACTTTTCTTTAGTAACCGGAGCAGTAATAAGAACAATCTACATGTATTAATTTCGCGCATATAATACAAAATATTCTAAAGAGCGCAATATAACACTGAAAAAAAATCCAGATTCTGGTAGATTCAACCAGTATTTTCTGATGGAAAATGAACAAACCAGATATTTTATTCAAGGAAATATTTCGAAAACAAGATACGGCCTGCTTCTTTATTTAAAATTAAAATTTCGTTTTAGCGGATCATTTGCGAGAAGTGGAAGTGCCGATTTTGTCATCGTGTAAATATTTGTCCGATCAGAACAATGCCACGATCTGCGCAGGATATCCTCAAGGCGGCCGCGATGCCTGTCAGGGCGATAGCGGTGGTCCCTTGATGTGCAGGTAACAATTAACAGGAAGAAAACACTGAGAATCTGTGAATTTTACGACTGTTATTACAAAAAGCCTCCTTGCACAGAAATCCAAATTTAGCGTCGCAGTGGTATGCGGCAGGCCTAATCAGCCATGGTGACGGATGCGGACGTCCGAATGAGCCCGGTGTTTACATGAAAGTGAGTTACTACATAGATTGGATTCTGCAAACATTTGTAATTTTAGGTAAGTCTTTTAAAAAATTAAAAAATGTTATATACATTTTTTTTTAAGCTTGCTTTTATTACTTAAAACATATTATTTTGCAGATACTCAAGAGACATCTCCTTATGGAGGTAAACCTTTGGATTCGTGTCCGGGATTTAGCTGCCAATCGAGCATGATGGGAAAGTGTTTGCCGAAAGAGAATCATTGCGACAGGATTGTACATTGTTTAGACGGAGAGGATGAAATCGGATGTGAAATTCTGCAAATTAATGAAAGATACAGGGAATCGGATTCTAATAATACATCTGTGAAACCGCAAGCAAACGAAACATCCAGTGATGCCACAGAAAAAAATAGTAAATTATGCCAAGCTCTTTCATAATTGTGACAAGCCTCGGATTTTTAATAAAATAATTGGAAATGACGCGGAATTTTATGTTACAGAAGTGAGCACGGAAACAATTCCTATTTCTACTTCTTCCTATTTCTTCTATCAGACAGAAACGCAGACTTACAGTGACGAAAATTCAAACATCACTGATACTTATACCACAACGCCTAAAATAACGATGTCGAGCGTTAGATTAACGTTCACCTGCAAAAGGTAAGTTACAAAATATTACAGGGAAAGAACGGTTTTGCTGAAGTATTTAAAAATTTAGCTGGATTTACAGATTCGAAAATAATTTTGTTGCACCATCAAAATAAGTATAGTAGGTCGCTGAAATATGATGATAATGCTATAAAAAGTTTTTACATCAGCAATCAGTTTTAGCAATCAGTTTGAGTGTTCTGCATAATTATTTTGATGGTGCAACAAAGTTATTTTCAGATCTGTATCTAGCTAAATTTTTAGATACTTTTAGCAAAACCGTTCTTTCTGGGGTATAATTTAAAGTATTTAATAACATAAATTAAGACTTTTGAGCCAATGTTCGTCTCATTTACAGCCTGATTCAAACCATAATGATCAACAAAAAATGCGATAAGCACTTGGATTGCGAGGACGGCACCGATGAAGAGGACTGTACCTGCAGAGATTACCTGTTAAATTTCCAACCCACAGCGATTTGCGACGGACATCTAGATTGCGACGACGAAACGGACGAGAAAGATTGCGGTATTCGATCTTACGTAATTTCACCGTATTTGGTTTCGCTTATCTAACAAAATGATCGTTTCAGGTATATGCGAGGATGACGAGTTTTATTGCAGCAGGAGCAAGGGTTGCATCCCGATGGTAAAGAAATGTGATGGAAATTTCGACTGCCCTCTAAGGGAGGACGAAGTTGATTGCCGTGAGTATACGATTCGTGTTCTCGTGTCTAAAAGACCGTTAAGCGGCATCAAAATTGCCATTTCCTTCTTTCAGTTGCATTGACTAACGGGGAATACGTGAATATGGATAGCGATAATCGACCGGTTTTGAACATAGAAGGTTTGCTTAGTAGATACTACAACGAGACGTGGCATGTAGAATGTCCTCAGCCAGATATACTGAAGAATAGCACTAAAATGTCGATAATTGGAGGAAACTTGTGCAAATATCTCGGATTTATGTAAGTTTGACTCTTAAATGTTCAACGATTCGGTAAAAGTCTGACATTTATATTCACGCTCAATTTTCTAAATACAACACTTATCGCTGCTCGATAGTATTTTGTTCAAAAAATATTAACTGCAAAATATTTAATTGCGTTTGCGTGCGCGTTAATTGTACGCAGGAGTTTGCAGTCGTCGGGTGAGATCGTTGTGAATAAAACGGTGCTGGAAACGAGGTTCTCGCGAAGGTGGGCCAACGGCACGACGGGTTACGAACCTTCGCCGGTGGCAGGGAGTGAGGGAGGCGAGACGTGTACGGCGCTACAGTTTCGCTGCAGACCGGTTTTAAGCAGCAGCGCCGACTCGCATCTGGCCGTCGATCCGAAAACCGGAAGCCATACCTACCTGTGGCCGTGGCTGGCGGCCATCTTCGTCGACGGCCGTTATCACTGCTCGGCCTTACTCCTGGAATCAGACTGGCTCCTGGCCGATTCGAGTTGCACGGAAGCTGTCAGGTAAGTGAATCCCGTTTTCTCCGAAATTCTTCCTTATCTCAAAAATGCCTATCCGGTGCATTTGCAGAGCGCAGATTGTGTAAAATTTGACGAACCGTTTAGTTATTCTTACGATCGTTCTTCATCAAATTTTATCGATCAAATATCGATAAAGAGATGCGTAACGAAGAATAAATTGCAGATTATCAGTGAATTATACAACAGTTCTGCTCGGCCAAAGTCGCTCGTTCCTCTACGTAGACGGGCCTCATCAACAGATCTCGGTCGTTGACGAGATCAGGGACGTGAAAAGAACAGACATCTCGTTGCTTCACTTAAAAACTGCGGTGAACTTTACCCGTTACGTGCAGCCGTTGTTCCTAGAGAAGAAGTGTGTATATTGATTATTCATCCGTTATCACATATACATATATTTTCTTCCTTTTACATGGCTATTTGTCGAATTTTCGCAGAATATATCCACCGGAGAAGGACGATTTATGCGTGGCAATCGGTACGGACAACGAACATCTAACGCAATCAATTTTTCTCCAACCGATCCTTGAAAATTGCGACAAGTGCTATCGTTGTTTCGTCGAAGCTTTAGGTATCAAATGCCCGGTGAGTAGCTCCATTATAGTAGCTCAAACTATGATTATTTCTATTAATTACGTAAAAGATGCATCGCTATTGGATTTCGACTTTATCTTTTGTACGCGTTTAGACCAATGGAACTTCTTCGAATTGGAGCGGAACGGTATTTTGTCGCAGCGAGAAAGGATGGTATCCCGCGGCTGTATTTCACGAAAACGATGGCCCGTGCAGCTTCCAAAGCACACAAAACTTGACGAGCATCGATTACATCCATGCCTATCTTACGCAAGCTTTAGGTAAATTTAGGTCATACCTGTAAAGACATCAATTTTTATACTATTAATTTTTTAATGTAATTAATTTTACGTCAAATGTTGTATTTTTATGCGAAAAAATGAAACAATCTAGGGTGATTTAATTTTCTTACTATGGTACTACAGAGAAAGAGCCACAACCAACAGTTGAAGCCACGTGTGATGGTGTTCGGTGCAATATCGGACGATGCGTCCCTTGGAATCAAGTATGCGACGGTGTAGCGGATTGCCGAGACGGTGCGGACGAGAAAAATGCAATGTGTCTACAAGTGCAACAGACGAGAAGAAAAGACGAGTCCAACCGCAGTAAGTAATTTTAGTGAACAATTTATGAAATTAATTTAAAATTGTAATTTACATTAGATTAACTTAAAATCTGAATTAAAAGTTTAATAGAATTATAAAGTCAGATCCATTAGATTAATTTTTAACTAATTGTAAATTTATTCGTTCTTGTGCGCGAGCTCATTTTCTCGCTGCCGGCGATTCTAGCGTGCGACTTTAAAAACTGGGAGCCGTGTGCAAATTTGTTTCATTTTTGGATCAGAATTATTTTTAATTCCGTTCAAATGCTCATTTTGATAAATTTGAAATCAATTTATTGTTAGATAGCTGCAGTAATCATAAATACGAATCATAAAGTCATCTGCTTTTCTATAAATAAATATAAAATGTAAAATTACGTCAGCGGCAATTAGCTATTATAGATCTTAAATTAATGTAAAATTTTGTCAGCGGCTGCGAATGTATTAATATGCATTTTTTTGTGTAGAATGTGCAAAGTCGGAGTTACGGTGCAAAAACGGCGAGTGTGTCTCGAAAAGTGCATTTTGCGACGGTAAAGTGGATTGCTCGGATGGAACGGATGAACCTGTAAGATGCAGCTGCGCTGAATATTTAAAACTGACTAAGCCAGAACGATTGTGCGACGGGGTGCGACATTGTCTCGATAAAACCGACGAGTCGCCGGAAGCGTGTCATTGCATCGAAACTAATTTCAAATGCAACACGTAAGATTGATAATTCTAACAACATAAAACATTTCTTATATCTCTAACACTTTAAAAAGTATTGTTGAATAAATGAGAATTCTTGTAAAAATTATTACAATCAATAATTATATGTAAACGTTATGCGCAGAGACAGCAAAAATGTTAGCTGCATCTCGCGAGATTTCGTGTGCGACGGCGACAATGATTGTCCGAACGGAGAAGACGAGACGGAATGCAAAAAGGTGCAAAAAACTGCAGATAACAGGTGAGAATTTAATTGAAATGAGCTGCGCCATAATTGTTGTATGTCACGGATAATAGGTACATCACAATTGTTAAATGTTGACTAAATAAAGTTAACACGTTTTTTTTAAATTGCTTCACAGATTTGCTGCAGGCGAGGTGGTGCAACGATCCTACGGAGTATGGCACACTCTGTGTTATCCGTCAGTAGTAATGTCACAAGAGGAGGCAGTAAACGTGTGCCGAAAAAACGGCTACACAAACGGAACGATCAATTACGAGTATCAAACTCTCGAACCTATTGTTCCATCTCGCGATGATTTCTACATGATACGATTAAATTCGGACACGTGGATAACTATGCGTGACGATAAACCGCTCATAAATTTGGTCCAACCGGAGAGACCCTGCTACCGTCTTTTTGTCAAGTGCAATTAGTGAAATGTATTGTTTACAAATTTTAAGCAATCACGTTATAATAATTTCATCTCTACATCTTATTCACGGTATGACAATCGAATGTAAAAGATCTTTTTTATCTTGAAAGTTAATGTGAAAGACACACGAAGTATCATTAAGTTTTATATAATTGTTTTAAGAGATTAATTTATTTAGTTGTAGCATAAAAGCTACAATATTCGAGCAAAGCAAATCAATTACGTTAGAAATAATTCTTTTCTAATCGAATAAATAAGTTCATTATTCTTTGTTTGTACTTTTGATAAAACGTCAAATAAATCTGCATTAAAAGAGAGAGATATTCGCTATAATTTGTATTTGTAGTTTCATCGTTTTAATTGTTATCTACTAACATAACGTAAAATTGTTTGCAAAATTTAACACTCCCTGCAAATATATTTTACATAATATATTAAATATATTAATGAGCAAACTGTATTAAATGAAATATACATTCTTAGAATTCGCTGTTTGACAGACAATGGAATCAGATAATCACGTAATGAAATACATTCAAGAAATATGATAGCGTTGAATAGAATTTCCCGATACCGCGATACGTGATCGCTTCGAGCACGTGCACGTGCGTCACGTAGGAGACAGTGCGAATTAGTCACTCCGGGAATGTGAATGGATACCGTTTTCCGTGGTTTCGTGGCATTCGAAGGCAACTTGCCAGGAGGAGCCAGGGGCGCAGTCGTTTGCCTTCAACAGCAGCGACCCCATTCGCTATACATTCCATCTGCCCCTTCTTCTTCTCCGAAGCGATTCCTCGTCCGTCCGTTTTCCATCGTTCCGGCAGTTTTGCATATTGACTTCGTTCGATGAAGACCACCTGGAGCGAGCTAAAGGTTAATTAACGTTATCAATTTAGCTCCCTTGAATACCACTAGTTTCATAAGTGACTCTTGCATTTATATTGAATATAGTGTACAAGAAAATATTTTATACGTCAAAGAAAAAATAATATACATATTTTATCTGACAATGAGAGTAAATAAAAAATATATTACAGAAAAAGAGAAGTAAATTATTATAAAATTTTTTTTCGAACAATTGATGGTAGCACGAATTTCCAGCAAATTTTATATAATGGATATATAAAATATAAAATTATGATTTTTTTTTATTGGTATCAATACATTATTTGTATTTTTTGCTGCTTGCATTTGCCGTAGCATTCTTCTCAATTACTATACTTTACATACCGCTTTTTACCTTAAAAGCTTACCGTCCGATTGTACGTCGAACGGCATTGCGGTGTAGAGTCCCTAACAACAGCCACACGCGGAAACTCCTTTCCTGGTTCTTTCGAGCGAAAACGAGGGGAATATGAAAATAATGGCTATTTTTTCTCCGCGTGCGTCCATCTACTGCATCCTATCGCGGCGCCGGCGTGGTATATATTAAACTTGCACGTTTTTTCTTTCGTATGTGCTACTTATGATCTATATTAACGCGAATATTTCTTATTTCATAAACATGTCATAAATTGTTGCTTTATCCGTTCTCTCTGTCAGGTTCAAAATAAAATAATATGTTTTCGATATCATTTGTAGAAAGTTACGCGTTACTGACGATTCGATCGTATTGATACGCGTACTTTCGATATGCACTTTCCATATACTTTCCGATATGATTCACGAACAGATTCACGCTCTAATTAACATATCTAATCACCTTATTAATTTAACTTAGTTGGTAAACAAAATGATTAAACATTTTTTACGGGTTTTATGTTCACGTTATATACTTACTTCGTATCAAAATAAATTTATTTCTTGAAACTCTTATAGTACCGTATATTTTCAGATGATCTAAGACTTTACTATCCGATCGCGAGGAATATAAGGAAAATTATGTATTTTGATGTAACCAACACAGGTAAAAACTGAGTTTCTAGCGCGCTCACGAAACATTATTTAACGCGGTTAAATACCTTTAAGTCATTCACATCGCTTATTAACTCACGCAACCAAGCACGCGAGGCACGTACTTTTTACACGCCGGATGCTGTGCCTTATCGATTGCTCCATACTAACCGGGAGCTCGCGGCGGAATGTGTCGGTGCGATCATGAATATATGTATAACCGCTCAGTGATCACGATGAATTCGCTGCATTTATGATGTAGCCGCGTAAGAAGGCAAAACGAGATTAGATCTTTTGTTTTTTTTTAACCATCCCTCTGTAAACTGATTTAAGGCCCTTTGCGTTCCTCGTTTTCCTTTCCCTTGCGATATCTCGTATATTTTTTCCGTCGTGATTTTTATCCAATTTAATTTTCCTTCCTCCGCGTGTTGACCTCGATATTACGTCTTTTCCTTTTTTAATAAGCGACTACAAGCATGGCTGACAATGAGCGACCCGGAGCTTTTCCTCGGCGATCCGTTGCCGACGAGACATTGATTATGTAATCAACACCGGGGTACACTACGTATAATTTCATTCCGCGGTGTACCGTTGGCCGCTTCCACCGCCTAAGGTTCTTCATTCCCCTGTGCTACTGTGTGCGCGAACGCGTCTTTTGCACGTTCACGCGAAACGCGGCGTGTACAAGTGTATGAGCGTTATAATGCAACGTAAAAGGCAAAGCCGGATTCAGGCTAGATTGCGGCCAATCTTTAAAACCGAATGGCGAATTCTCCATAGAGGGAATTCTCCGCGTATCACAATCGCTTTTTTCGTTTCTGCGAAATGTCGACAAAGGAATTCAGGAAAAGAGGAATCCAAAGGACGTTCCTCATAAAAGTATGTACATATTTTAATCATGCAAAATATCTATATAATTTATTCAATATTTTGCATAACTTCTGTTTAACGGCAAAGCAGCTTGCTCAATTAAATGATGCATTACATTTGGCTGGTATAACTTTTATGTAATTGTTAACACATTTATTCTGCAACGAGGATACAGGCAGAAAGTGGCGCGATGCGCACAGGTTGAGAGTGCCTGAACTAATGATCGTTTCGGTGTGAATTACCTGTGGTCCGTCTCGCGCGCTGAACTGGACTCAACGCGCAGGCAGGACGCTGAGGCGCTGGGAGAAAGGATTGAAGCGAGAACACGAGCGTAGAGAAATCTTTCCCGGCAGCGAGCGCGAGAGAGATGAGCAGAGAAAGCGCCAAAGCGGTCAACGTTCAAGAATGTGTAAAGTCCTCATTACGTATTACCCACATTACGTCGCGCGGTGGTAGCTCGTATCCTTGATGAGCCCACTCTGTCCCGCTTGCATTCCGAGCCTGGCATTGTACCTGCGTTACGCGCGACATGAATCATCCCAGGATCGAGGAAGTCCCTGTCCGTCCGAGAAGCATTGATCCTCGAGAAATTTATTAAGCGATGACGACCTTACGCGTGATGCGAGGCGAGGAATAATTCTCGTGTAATTACGCGCTGTTAAAACACCATCTTCAATGTCGATTCATCGCGTGGAACATCATCATGCGGTAGAGCTTAAAAATAAATTGTGCTATATTAAGCGGTTATATGTAGGATATCACAGATTAAAAATAATTATACGGTTACCATATTACTATTCTCTTCTATTAATTGTCACGTCGACGTCATTAATGAGGTTTAAACAATAGCGGACGATTGAAACATGCAAATCCAGGCGTGTGAAATAAAAATCTTCAACCGCGTTATCATCTTAAACGTTTGTAACTGTAATTTCCATAGAAGTCGATAAAGTGGCCGTTAATGGTGAGACACTGGGAAATGGTAATCAGCCGTACGAGTCTTATCGTTGGATTACTAATCGTGCGATTTTTAGTGTCAACAATGGTTAACGGGACACCGGATTCGCTTTGTAGATTTATTCCGATAAGATAAGCTATAAAACAGTCGGTATAACCATTCTAAATCGCGAACGATTCTTCGACAGACATCAAAGTAAGAGCAAATAGTTATAAATTTAACAAATAATAAGTAATTAACTAAATCAAAATATTGGAGATATTATCAAAACAGATAATTCTGATTTTAACCCTCGGTGGTCAAAGTGACCCCAATCAATTTTCAAACAACTGCATGCTGTTCAAAAACTAACGCTTTAAGTGGATCGCAAAAAATTCTAGAATTAAGTTTAAACATTGTAGAATGTATTCTCATTATAAAAAAATTAACTTTTTTAGTGGCACTATGTTCAAAAAAATATTTTTAAAAATGTTCAAAAAAGAGATGTGACTACTGAGGGCTAATCGTATAAATCAATAAATTTCGTCCGTAACTAAACTGGATAATTCAAGACTCCCGTCCGTTCATCTACGAGTCGCGTGTCCGACCTCGAATCTTCTGCGACAATTGCGCGTCGCATATTACGAATTTCAACGGAGCGAGTTAATATTGACCTCGCCGCATATACGAATTTCAGCGGAGTGAGTTAATATTGACCCCGGAGAAACCTTGGTGATAATTAGCCGAGCGTACAGACCCAAAAATGCGAGCGTAACGAGGTCATCGTAAATTCAATTCCGTGATACTTAACACATCCTTAAACTTTCAATGCCGGAACGCATTAATTTATAACAATTTCGTTTTGGGAAATTCTCGGTGCAGGTTACATATGGAGTTCGGTTTCTCAATAAACCGAGAGCACACGCCTCATCTTCCTCTCCGTCCTGTTTGCCATCGTGTTCGCCGAGATGGTTGATACGGCACTCGGGGAGTGTACCACGACAAACTCTGAACTCCTCTCTATATTTATCGACAACGTGACGACGACGATATCGGCGGCGCGAAGCGACGTCCGCGAGCGGAGTAGCCGCGCTCTGGTACCGTTACATCTGGCAGCTTCCTGCCGGTCGTGGACTGTCTACGGCCCTGCTTCGTCGATTCTCCTTCGCATACTTATGGCATCGTCTTTTCGGCATCGTCATTGTCACCTACTCCCATGCGCGCTACTGTACCGTAAACTTCGCCAATCGAAAATTCAGAATGCGTCCGCCGCGAGCGACAGGGAGGAATTCGCGACGCGCCTTCGGGCTATACAGTTACAGTAAACACGAAAACTCACTCTGAAATATCATGCAATTTTATTCTCGTCGAATGCAATCAGCTGCAATCGTTCCGAATTCCTGACGAAATATTTTATTTGATTCTATTGGTCGTTGTGCGTTTAAAAAAATTAAATTCCAATTCTTTTCTAGATTTTAAATTTCCTCAATTTAAATAATTTTTTTCTTTAAAAATGACCTAAAAATTACTGATGATATTAATGTCATATAGGATAGCTTAATAGTTTGCGGCTACGTATATTTTATGTACATTTATCTACATGTTACAGTTTATATTTATATAAAAACAAAACAAAAGAGGTATTTCTTGTACGGTTATTTGTGGTATGAAGAGATTTCTTAAATTAATTGCTAACTTCCCTATAATTTCGCAAACGACGTTTTCCATAATAGTTCTTAGGCAATTCAATAAACGTACTCAATAATTAATGCCACAGTTTTAGTTGTGTAAGATAATAATTCATCTTATATATAGAGAAGAAAGAGAGAAAGAGAGAAATAAAATTGTACGACTGACTGCGCGAACTTGCGAATCGAGTCTGCCGAATAAATATTCATTGAGCGCGATATTGAGGCGTTAATTAAGGCGGGTGCAAGCGCGCCAGGATACCGGCGATTCTCTCGACAGCTGCAAAACCGTTCTACGCGATAAAAATAACCGCGAGGCAATAAAATAGCGATTATCGGCGGCACGGTTTTAACCGCTCCGTGCTCTGTGCTCCGGGTGGTATGATACGGTGTGTGGCCGCGCCGGCCGCGGTCGTAAAATCGTGTCAGCGAACATCCCAGATGGACGCGAAATGCAGTTTCGTAAGAATGCTCGAATCGAACGAGGAAGCGTTACGAATGCGATTGCTATTCCGCGATCGTTCGTGTAACGTTCAAGTTCAAGGCGGAGGGACTGTATATAATACATATACACTAATGCGAGCACGTCCGTCTACTATAACCATCGATTTTGCGCATTTCCATTTCTCTATACGCTTTGCAGAATTTTTCGTTCAGTTTCCTTTCGGTTGAACTTCTTGTATTGAGTCGCGAACAATTTTCATATTCGATAAAACGTGAGAAACTATATCTTTAAAAAACTTCTTCTCATTTCTTGTGACAAATATATTCTCTCTGTAAAAAGGAAACTTTATTCGGTTCTCAGAAAGTGACAGAATTGAATTCTGTGCGTGGAAACAGATTGAAAAAATTTCAATATCCGTTTCTGACGAGCGACTCGCGGTTTCAAGAATATCATTCCGACTTCTACTATGCAACCGAACAATTCGCTCGAAGAAAAAGAGTGATACACTTCTTAGTGCCTGCAATATCCGTGATGGTCGGCCGACGATCGGATCGGCCGCAACCGCGCGTGGAATGCAGCTATGCATCTCATTCGCCGTTCGACGTCCCTCGTATCGGTGAAACCGGCATACGCGCACGCGGCACGGCGCGGCGCGGCGCGACGTACGCGTACGCGCGAGTACGTGTACTAGCGGATAAAGAGGTCGTCGTAAATGCTTCGATGTTAATTCGCCACAAGTTTTGTAGGACACGCCGCGCGAGGCGAAGCATGGCGAGGCGAGGAGAAGCTTGCCGCGTACACGGCCGAGGCGATACGAACGTTAACACGACTACACCTGAGCGTCAGCCTGGACACACGTCGAACGGTTTCTCGTGCCAGGGTCGACGCCCTGCCCAAACTTCCTAATCATCCTGCATCGTATCACGTCCGAAACTGTCTACGAGGACTGTTTCCTCGATTATAAATTTACCTCGTGGTCGATTTGAAATCAACAAGCAAACTCATTATACTGAAATACGAAATCTAGGAAACTAAACCACTTCAGCTTGAACTTCATCTATAACTATCGGCGTTAAGGCCGTTTTCGAAGTTACGCAAACTTCCGACTAACTACTGGTCCGAGCTGAGTCAATAAGTAGTTTCGTCGGATTAATGATGTTTGCTTTGTACCGAGCTAGAAGATTGTTAGATTTTAGATTCAAAATGGATTAAGACACGCGTTTCAGCACCAAGACGTGAATCCTAAATCTATTTTGTACCGTTCAAGGTTTCGTATTATTCTTTGTTGTCTTAAGAGAATCATAGTCAATTCTATAGGAACTGGCTATAAAGTTAATTTTACTTACATATATATAGTCGAATGTAATCAAACGGTTCTTTGCCCGGGTCAACGTCTTGTCATGAGTGCTTGACAGTACTTTGTTCGGTATAGCGATACGGCTTATGCCTCATGATACCTAATGATAGGACACTCTGCGGTTTAAATGCACATCGCGTTTGTGGGCTTCCGCTGATGCAACGTTATGAAACGAATGATCGGAGTTATTACTCACTGACATTGAACCGACGCTGAACTTCAATGGTAGATGTTATCCCGTTTGCGGGAGAAGTTAGCCCCTTCCTGCCTGAGTGGTCGAATTGGCAAAAAAACGCCCGTCACGGAATGGAGGGAGGACAAGCGATCAGCACGCAGTTTGAGCTGAAATAAGTGTAAAAATTCACATAAATATTATTAGGCTAGAGTGACCAGCTTTCCCGACCGAAGACGGCGTATTCCAATATTTAATTAGCCCCTTCTTATTCTCCCGCAATCGGCACTATTACTCAAGTAGAAGAAAGTCGGGAAAGTGTATAATTAAGTGGTAGCGTGTGTATCGAAAGCCGCTGATAACTGGACGAAAGCGGCGACACGGATTGGACGTTGATTTTGATACCGGCAGGAAATTATATTAGTTGCAAAAAGAGCGCATTTGCAATTAATATAAAATGCGAAATTCCCATTTCGTTCGCGGTACTGTGAGTTACCCCCGCACCCGTGCATCTTCGCGAGATGTATTTCTACCGAAAGTGAAATTGCGCGATGACGATTTTCTCGAATTCAATGTTACACGGTGGATCTTGCTTCGCGTGGATGGTTTTCTGGACGTCATTGTACGGTTTGGATTTTCAACTTTCCACGCGAAGCAAGGTCCACCCCACCTCACCTCTGCTTACAGGGCGACACGAAGTCTTGTCATTGTAAGGTTCAAGTTTTCAGCCTACATGTGTACTGTCTATACACACATATCAGCAAATTACTTCCTTTAGCATTGACACAACCTGGTATATATGTTTCTCAAACTTTTTTGTTTATAACTTTCGAACAAACAATAACCGCTGACTAAAATCTTTTAAATGTTACTCAGGGACATGTCCTTGACAACGTATATCAAGATCAAAGTCATTGGCGTAGTGTCCCCTAAAGTAAATAATTACCAAAATCGTATTCCGTAATGTATGTACATACGTTAAGTGCCTTGACTTATCACAATTTATCAAAGGTCTTTTGTACCTCCGCGAGTCAATAGGATAGATAAACAGATTCGGAAATGTTCGAGCAAATAATGATTGAGCGTATTATTTGAAACCAAATCAGCGCGGCCTGCGCAGGTCGATGCCAGCACCCTTTGATTGCGTTTTCTGGCTTGGTAAGCAACTTAAGGATGATGGTTCCGTTTTATTTATAAACAGCATCGCGCGGCGTGGCGCGCGCAAAAGACTCGCTCGCTCGCGTGCGCTCGCAGCGAGTTGCCGGGTTGAACGCCTCGAAGTGCAGCAGACCCGATAAAACGCTAACGGAGTGCGCTTTACATGCCTCTTTTCTCTGTCGCGAAATTATCCGTCCGACTTTTCGTATGATTGTCACCACGGTCGTCCTCAACGTGCTCCTCTTAGTTTAGGCGTTAATTAAGAGTCGAAAAATAATTGCGACTGATCGCATTGGTGGCGACGGCGATGCGCTCGCTCCTCTTGCATAACTCCGGCACCGCAGTCACGCTTGGTAAAAAGTGTTACGTCCGTTGCAATTAGAACGAGTGGAAGAAAAAGGCGACACCTGAACCTCGACGAAGGCAATTAGGCGATCGTACCTCGAAAGAAAATATATAGACATTGCGCTAACTTTTATTATCGTGCGATTCTCTTTTCGTGAATAAACAAGAGAATATCTATACACTTGAAAGATTTCACTTTTGCCCAGAAACATTAATTTTTATTTTTATATATCTCTTCTTTTCCAATTTAAAACTTACCAATAAGCAAACGAGTGAAGTAAACGGAACAGTCCTTTCTTTTTATAAAATCCGGTTTTCTTTTTATGAAATCTTTGCGTTAAAGTTGAACGTAAATTACTTCGCAATGTCATCATTGTCATCCTTGTGTCGTTGAGCTTCTTCCGTGTTTACAGTGATGCTACGGTGAGATAAATGACGCGGATCGTATTTCACGATGATTTCTAATTGCCGATCTAAAGAGCCGGGGATCTCTCTCCGAATTATCGACGCGCATAAACGCAGAACGTTGAACGCGATATACGTTGGCTCGCGCACGTCCAGCTTCTCGCTCAATTACAACTTTCATTCAGGTGCGCAAGAAAAAGAAATCCGCGCCGGCCCGCGGTCGTCGTACCCGTGTGGCGTGACTCCGCCGCCGATCTGGCTCGACGACCTTTCCTGCGCGAGCATCGATGTCTCTTTTCGCGAAACACCTACTTGCTGCAATCGTACGCCTACTTAACCCGTTAGCGTGCCGAGTCGCGCTCGGCGCTATCTCTAGACGTTTTACGATCCGTGTCACTACAGTAAATTGAAAAAGAAATTATTGCTAATAAAGAAGGAGAAGAAAAAGGAGACAGACAAAAGTGTCTCCTTTAGATTTGTAAAAACTTCTTTATTTACTTCAATGCAATGTTTTATGATATATTTTCACCTCAAATTTCTTGTTATCACTATAAATGTTCTTCATTCTTTCGTAGATTATTGGCATCTTATTTAAAAAATAGAAGATTTCTAGCTAAATATAATAAAAACTTTGTAATCTTTAAAGAACAATAATCGATTAAGCTAGAAAGGGATTTTTACGAGCAAACAATTAGTCTTCTTTACGTCTTCGGTTCTTTCACGATACATTTCTTTGACTGTTTGCGGGAATTTTGTGTGGAGGCATACCTACTCTCGGTAATAGTGCGAACCTCTGGCACGGCACGCCACGATTAAATCCACCGGTGCTATTCCGCCTTCGTGCTACGTTCACGGCAGTTTTTCTCGAATAGAAAGGCTATTTCTTCGATTCTTAGCCTTCCTACGAGGATGGGATTAGAATCGGTACGGAGAAAACATCCACTAGAATAACATATTTATCCGTCAATGAGCGTCTACGCACTCGTACAAACCGGTTTCAAACTAGGATGCTATTTCCGAACGGTGTAGAAGTGTTTGACAATATTATGGCAACGTAACTCGTCAGCAAAGTATCTCTATTCAATTTTTACAAAATTCACATTAGTATAAATGGCATAATTTACCTCCCTGCACTTGTTACTCTTCCCTTTATACATTTTATTGGAAAATATACTAATAATATAGTTGAAATTATTTTATTTCTTTTATGAAAATCTACCTTTAGATAGATCGCTGTAAAATAACTAAAATTCGGACAACGGGATGAATTTTGAGATCCAAAAGGATTTCTTCGGTCACTAATGCCGAAGACCGCCATTACGATTCCCCTGGACGGGATTCCTGAGCGAAATGTGAGGCAAATTCACGTTTCTCCTCTCCGTCGAGAGTCACGCTCGCGTCCTGACGTCATTTTGCAGCAATCCGGCCGCCACGTGACAGGTATTTAAATGTACCGTACAGAGAGCTACCCCCGCGACGCTGCCATGCAACAAACAAGAGCGATGCTCCTCCGCTCGGCCTTCTCTGGCGCGGCGTCGCGACTCGCTCTCGAGTGTCTCCTCCACCTTTTCCTGCGCCTACGTTCACGGCTGCCTCCTTTTCTCTCTCCTGCGTTCCGCCACGAAGGAGAGAAGAAGGCACTCTTTCTCAGGTAATGCGCGCCGTTCACCTGGGCGTAGAGAGAGAGAGAGTCCGGTTCTTCAGTCTCGTAGCGGCGGGCCGGAGGGAAGGAGCTCCGTGACCCTGAGGACAATTCCCAGGTCTTTTACTCTGTTCTCTCTTCCTTGCCATTCTTCTCGTCGCGAATTCGGTACCAGACGTCTCGCGCTTCCTTCCTCTCTTCGTCGTCGTATTCCGGCCTCGTGGAACGCGCTATCGCTATCGGCGGCCTGTGTCCGCGCGCCGCGTGAGTTCAGTTCAGTTCCGTTCCGTTTTGTGAAGTGAATTGTCTTCGGCGGATCGTGGACGGACTTTCAGTGGTGTACATGTACCCTGGGACTAGAATCTCACCGTAGAACGTAGGGAAAATCAACGTAAGTCTGTGGGAAATGTCACATGTATCCCGTAGCGGTAAAGGTCGAAGTCGTATTTCGATGTGAGCGTGATTTTGCATGAGCACGCCTTTTCCTCGGAACGGACGCTGCGGAGTTACTCGCACTGAAGGAATTCGGGCTCGATTGGGTACGAGGTCAAATTTGGCTGATCTCATGGTTCTCGAAGAAATTTTAAGATGTCGTCATTTCTCATTCTTAACTTAATTCCCCTCTTAATAAAATTATATTAATATCCCTTTTTATTTCGTAATCGTCTTTTAATCTTCTCAACACTGAAAAACTTGTTAAAAATTTTAGTGTAGGAAGAATTGTCCTGGAATATTTAAAATATCATTTAAAATGGCGTATATCTATGACGAGCGCACGCTGCAAGACACGGACATGCGATTTCTACACGTGTAGAAATCTTTTAGCACAGGAGGTGTTGAAATTTACGGAGTGCGATCGTACGTCCGCGTGTGATGTCCATGATCTTAAAGATCAGAATGTTGCCGGTTGGTGAGTAGTATTCAATTAGAAGCCGATTGATAACACGAAACGAAGCTTATTTACAAGCGGAATCCCGATGAATATATGATTATAAAATCAAAACGGATGATTACAGTCTAAATAATAACAATTATTAGCCGTTGCACTCTGATAAGGGATCATAACAACACGTAATTTCTTTCTATTTTGTTATCAGTAACATAGATTAATGAATCCTTGCCAATCTTGCAGCATTTTTAACGAGAAATGTATGAGTCGAAAATTAATACTATATAAATTAAACCTAATACTAATCTTCCTTTAATATCCATTTCTATACTAAGGTAAATTAACTTTAATTGCGGTTTAACTTACTTTTCATCCTTTTCTAAAACCAGAAAAAGTAAAAAGTAAGTTAAACTGAGATTAAAGTTAATCTACATTGGTAGAAACGGACATGAGAAATTTATTCTATAAGGAATAATTTGTGTGAACAGAATGAGAAACATTATGTCATGTAATTTGCTACACAAATCGTATAATTAACCAATTTCTCACATAAAATTATCATTAAATTGTGTAGCAATATTCTATTTTAACAACCTCAAATATATGCGTATCTTTTTTTATATTGTTTGGAATTAAAATTTTTTATGTCTCACATTATTCACAACGTAATAGTAGTGTAGTATGAAGATCACTTCAAAATCTACTTACAGAGATGTATTAGAAACTTTACCTTTTACTTTTACCTTTTACCTTTCATCTCTTACCTTTTCTCGAATACTTGTACGGTCGATCTCAGTCAATTCTTGCGTTACGATTTACAGACTTTCCTTAACCGATAAAACCAATAAATCGCCAGCAGTTTGATCTTACGCACAGGGAGTGCATGTAGCACAAATTTGTGTCGCAAAACATCATAAGAACGCATGTAGATACACAGAAGAGAAAGTTTCATGTACGTTAAATTTTACATACCCTTCGCGCGCCTTGCTTTGCCTTCGCAAAATGCTAATAGGGTATTGAGACAAACGAAATTATGAGCTACGCTTGCATTTGCAAGCCAGGCTCGGCGGCGGGAATGATTTAAGAATGCGCACTCGCTCGGCGTGATGCGATAATTCCGTGGCATCGCGATTGCAAACTTTATCCACTGCGCGCCGGCAAGAAAAGAAAAGCGATCGCCGGATTCCTTTACCCTCTCTTTCTCGCAATTTCTTCGCGAGTCGTTGGACTCGAGCGAATATGGTTCTGCCTGCACAAATATAATTATTCAATTCAATTCGCTAAATATAATGTATATAGGCATATAAAATTGCAAAAAAAGTATACATAGATATTTTATACATCATAGATATTTTTGCTGCTATGAAATTGCGATTTGCTGTTGGATTTAACTTACTCTCCTCTGCTTGCAGAATATCGTAATTATTATAGTATCTTTAATGTATTCATCGGAGATTGTAGACTGAGTTTTCATTAACCTCGATCTGCAATCGTTTAACAATTTTCATATGTTGAAAGTTTTATATATTTCAGAAAGTGTTACAATTCTCTTAGATATAACTTATAATGTTAAAAAATTCTTCATGATATTATGATGGCCTACAATTCTTCTATCGGGCATTAATATCTCCGCCATTACGGCGGCAGAGAAAACATGGGGCCAGTCTTGGGGCTTTTAACCGTGATAGGTGGGTAGATATAGGTAGGTAGCTAGGTAGGTAGGTAGAAAAGATAGGCAGGTACATGATTTGTAGATGCTAGCGTGTAGGTAGATAAGTGCTCGCACATGGTGTAGCAGACATTCTGACCGTATCTCTAGCGTATTAAGGGCATTATTCTCTATCTCGTTCAATTCATTACGTTAGTTTAAACATATAAATGCGCTTACAAGCTCAAATTTCTACGTACATTTTATGTTGATTCTGTTCCGTGCGCTTATTGTAACAATTGTGCAAAATCAAACATATCCGCTTTTTATAAAAATGCAAGCGCAATGCAAAAATGCAATTAATATCTCTGTAGAAGATATTGTGTAAAGATCTTCTGAAAAGATTATAGATATGGCAATTACTTGTTATAGAAAAGTAACATATAACAGTTTTCAAATTTATATCTCTTATAACTAATATTTAATTTTTAAGTATATAAAGGATTGTCGCAATCAAGTTCGTGTTACGCTTCGCTTGGCTCCGTAACTTAAGGACAAATTCGCTGAAGCTATGACGCTACCTGGTCGAAGTACCGTTAGTCACCAACGGCTAGAGCATATCATCGCTCGTAAGAAATTCCAGTCACGTAACAGACATCGATACATGCCGAATAAAAGTTCGAAAAAGTCGTGCCTATTGAAGCATTGTCGCCAGAATCGTCGAGTGTCATATCTTCGTCGTTGTATCACACAGGTTCAAAATTGCAAAAAAAATTGCCGGATGCGTCAAGGATAAATCGGATTTATCGTAAAAACGTCAAATTTCCCTTACTTTCACTATATCGAATTTATCGAGCGCGTATAAACGCATGGCGGCACACATTTTCCCGCCGTTTTTACGGGGCACGGTTGCGGGACCCGCGTTTGCGGCTTCCTCTTTGCGACAATCCGTAATCTCGCGCGGCATTTTGCGGGACCACTTTTCGCGCGCGGCACATAATGCAGCTGTGTCAGTTGCCGCGCGGCATAAACCGCGCGGCACGGTACAACTGCACGACCACGCCCTGCGTGCTATCATCGCGTATAAACCGTACAGTAACGCGGCGCGCCTTGGTAGAACCAACTATAGTTGGTATTCGCGATTGAGCCTCACATTTTCATCGCCGCGGCTCGTCACGGAATAAAATGCACGTAGCTGTAATACATTTCGCGTTGCAAACGCACGCGTACGATATTCGCGGCTGCCACGCCGCGCCGTGTTGAGCCGCGCGCTCCACGTGGCCGGGACCGCGACAGCACGGCGCCGGCCGCGCTTTTATCGGTCGACGAACCGCGAGAAATGTGAAATCGCACGGTTCGGCCGTTGCATGTAAAACATCGGATTCCGAAAGTTTCCATTTTACAGAAAGCTTTTTTAAATTTTCTTTTAAACGAGCTTTGGAGGCATTTCGTCTTTTGTCACGCTCTTTTTGTCTAATTTAAAATGTAAATATTTTCGAGTGTCTATATTTTTTCTGAGGCCTGAGGTAAAAGACCATTTACTCCAAAATTTTTGAAATTTGAGATTGATCTTAACCCTCGGTCGTCACACCTTTTTTTTAAACATTTTTTAAAGAATTTTTTTGAACATGTTGCCACTCAAAAAGTTAATTTTTTACAGTGAAAATACATTCTGCAATGTTTAAACTTAATTCTAGAACTTTTTGTGATCTACTTAAACTGCTAGTTTTTGAATAGCATGCGTATTATAGCTGTTTGAAAATTGGTTGAGGTCACTTTGACCCCGAGTGACAACCGAGGGTTAATTGTCTTGAAGATAAAAAAGGAGACAATAGTGCCGTTTAAGTACAAATACTTTGCAAATGAAAAGGAGAAATGTAGGATAAATTTATATATCACTTTTGATTACCGTAGCGCGAATCAACGAAGCAGCTAAACGCCAACGGTGAATTAAACGACGTCAATTCCTATTTCGAAAACGAAATGTCATGCTTCCTCGACGTTCACTCGTCGCGTGACATTGTCGTTTGTCGAGCTGCGAGCAGCTTTATCGGTCAGCGAACCGTGAGAATCGTGCGAGATAACAAACGTTAGGGTCATTCCGCGAGAAAACGCAATACGCGGGCTTCGTGTCTCAAACCTCGACCCTGAATTTCCATCGTGCCACGTGCATCCCGCATTCAGGAAACAAACGGTAAATTCGTGCCTGCTTTAATGAGGGCGATACGACAAAAGTCACGCTCGCGAAAACGAGGATGATGGTCGGCGCGCGCTTAATGACGCCCGTGTCCTTCGCGAAAGAAGAAATGGAACGCGCGTCGCGAGAAGTCAAATTTACCGAGTACCGTATACCGAGAACTATGTGATCAGTCCTTGGAAAGCGTGTATATACCCATATACTTTAGATATACAAATTGATATACAATATACGCATGTATGTATATAATATGTATAGGAAAACTCTATAAATTAAAATTAATAGATTGTAGAATTTGAAATTAGAATAAGTAACGCTAATTGACAGATATATATATGTTTTGTGACCTTGATATTCCTTACATTGATTCACATATCGATTACTTACTAACAGTTGCAACTGAGTTACTCGTTACATCAAGCTCGCCGGCCTAATAGGCTACATCTGAATAACTTAACGGTAGCCCTCGCTAATTGGCCCTCGTACGTACGAAGCGAAAAGCGAATGAATGGTCCGTGAATATGTAAGACGGAATTAAACGGAATTGGGTTAAAATTCGTTGAATATCGTTCGTTATCTCGTATCTCGTATCGAACCAATGGAGGTTCAATGAACTTCTTTATTAATCTTGCGAGGCCGAAATAAGTCGTACGCACG